TTTTGTTGAAATTCTTGTTGTAATAAATAGGACGAGTGCCTCAAGAATTTAGTCGTTCAGCAGTACAAGCCTATAACTATAAATTTTGAAAATGGGCAGTCACCGTGTCTTTGTCAATTTCATATTTATCTGTTAAATTATCTTTATCGGATACTGTTTATTATCTCTCTATCATTTTATACGTATGTTAAGAAGTCAGTCCTTAAACATGAATAATTAATTAGACATCACAATAATATCCTCTATCACAATAATGTCCTCCCTTATTACATTATTACTTCGTCCTCTGTATCGGCGCACTCTCTTGTCCGATAAGCCTATTTTTAGTCGCCCATATGTCATACAGTTTGACGTCGTGCATTGCGGATTTTTATCTTATCGTAGTTTCTTGCAAACATTGTTAATGTCGCATTTTCTCCTGACTGCATTATCTTTGTAAAGACGCCGACAAGCAAACACACTGATGCTTTGATTTAAAACTCCGGTTTTTACTTTGTGTGTTTAATTATACAGGGCCATTAAACTTTTTCTAGTGTATAAGGAGTCTCTGTTCTGTATTTTATTCTCAAAAGGCCAGAATTTTTCATTTTATTGCAATAGATTGCCATCTGAGCAAGCAATACCATTATTGAAATTCTGAACTCCCGTAATATATTTTATCTCATTATTAATAAGAGTTTGAAGAGACCATAAACTCCCGCAATTTTCATATCATAACTATTTGATGCTATAAAAATTACGTTTATGTTCGGAAAGCGGTTATTACTTACACGGTCTGATCTGACGCCCCGATCCCGTTTCCCATTGCTTCAATATCACTGGCATAATAACTTTATTTTTATAACCGGCTGTACGCACATGCCTTTGCCTTTACTTCTTCTTTTTCATTGCATGTTTTACTTGCGCGATGCAACGGCCATGTTCCACGAAGAATTTTCAACATTCTTGCGTGCCAGGATTACGTGTTATCTTCAAGTCATGTAATAAAGACGAGATTAAGATTTGTTTTTGTTGTTGTTCTTTCTTCGAAAATTGTAAACCGTTCGTGGGCTTGAAGGCTTTTATAAGGATTCTTGCAATTGGCTAGATTGAATATATAATGCGTCTAGTTTAATGAGCTCGAACGTCCTACCAAGAAATCTTATAGCGAGATGTGATAGGCTCACCCTTTATATTTAAAAAGACACAATCAACGGATGAAAACTTACATATTATTATCATGTTAGTTTTACATGTCTTAATTATAATAGAATTTGCATTAAAATTTCTTTGACCTTGATGACTGCTAAAACGTATGCTCAAATATGTGCAATCACGTTTGTGTTAATAGTGACATTTAAAACCATTGTGAAATGCTCATTAAAAGTGATTGAACCGTTTATAAGCACCCATTATATTAAGTATCATTACCTACTTATGCACTATTGCAATAGACAACGTACTCGCAAACCTCATGTATGTCTCAACCACTTACTGCTTTGATATATGAACATTTATTGTGTGGTATGATTCTTAATGAAAAATAATTCAGAACTCAAGTACTTAACCTTCAAGTGCTGTAGAAACCACTTCTCAGTTTGTATTTTAATCTCATTAAAAATCATTACTTTCCATAAACGATTACAACGCCCTCTGCAGTTTTTAACTGTATTTTATCTATGAACTTTTGCTCTTGTAGTTCAAACTCGTTCAAACTGCTGATTATCCCTTCGAAGTAGTTACTCGTAAAGCGTCATCATCAGTTCGTTAGCGAGGCTGTGTCAAGTGCCACGACGAGACCACTGGCGGTCAACCGAACAAATTGATCTTGGACCATTGAAACTTGCACAGAAATTTCACCACTATTCCGAAAGCTTTAAGACTGAATATTTGTTAAATTTTTTAATGGAGCGAGAGGCTACTGCTGACTGTATCAGAGTCAATATGAGTGGGCGTTGGATACTGTTAGTGGGTCCACTCGGGATAAAAAAACTGTTTATGTTTCTTATTAGACAGGTATTTGCTTTGGTTTACGGTGCCGTGGGAGTGAAAATGTATGGCTATCAATATAGACTTTTATTGCTTCGCGATATTTTAGATGGCAACTTTATTACCATGTCATATGAATGCACCTTTATCTGGATAAGTGTCAGGGAGTTTCTGCTTTTGAACATAAAGTCTAAAGCAAATTTCTATAACCTCCAACGAAGCAGGTCTATGATCAGACTTTAATCCAACTTAATAAATCTCAAATCTGTTTGTACTGAAGCTTTTAATTTTTGAACGTAATTTCCATAAACGTGTTATATGTAAACATTCCATATCTATTTCCTTGTTATAAATATACGCATCAATACTTCACTGATCCGGAAATAGAAGCCGCCTTCCTCCGAGTTTTCCGGATGAAACTTGCTCCGTCTCTACACTCGCTGCTGCATTTCCTTCTGCCAATCTTGCCTTTAGTTGGCTCTTCATGTCATATATTTGAATACTTATATTATAATAAGTATATTCTAGCTACAAACGCAAACTATTCAGCTTTAAATAATCTTATACTACCTACTTTATAAAGCTGAATATTTTGTTTGTTTCTTTGTTTGAACGCGCCGATCTCAAGAAGGTCGTATTTGAAAAAATCTGTTTAATTTGGATAGCCCATTTATCGAGGAAGACGATGGGCTATAAAACAACACGCTATGTTCAATAGGCGCCGAACAGAGCGGGTGAAAATAAGTATACTGATTTTCTAAACCCATTCATACGTATATGAGCATTTGTAGGCGTTCACAAATGTATTGATACACTTTCTTCTGTCGCCTAGCCTATTCTCAAATAGGGTTTACACTCTTATTGTATACAATTTTATAGAAACTATAAGAAATGAAGAAATTACTGTCAATACCTATTATTGAAAAGTCCTTGTGAAGTGTTTTTCTAACCAAATATTCTACTTCAATGGTAACATTTTGCAAGCCTATCATATTCCAATCATGAACTCATGACCTACCCGAAATTAAGTCTTTGACAACATTTAAACAAAACAACACCAATATAATGTAAATTGCTGTAATTTTGCATACAAATATAAAATGGTCTTCAAAACTAAGATGTCGTAATGAACAAGCGAGAATAGATCACCATGACACTTGGGACCTCTTTGATATCATGGCGAAATAAGTTATGAACTTAATATGTTCATAACATAACATAACATAACATCACGCCTTTTATCCCCAAAGGGGTAGGCAGAGGTGCACATTATGCCACTGTACAATGTAACACCCACTTTTCACTATTTATGTTATGAGTCCCATGTAATAGGGGGTGAGCCTTAATATGTTCCCCACGTAAGATAAATAGTTAACTATGTACTTTTCTCTAGATGAGGTTAATTCTTTTATATCTATATCATCATCACCATCTCAAGCCTTTTTCAACCAATTTGGTGTATGCCTCCTTCAAATCTTTCCACTTGGTTCTATTTTATGCTGTTAGTATCCAATTTTGTCCCGCCACCTCCTTGATACCATCTTTATACCCGCAATGTAAGGTATTTGTCATATCTTTCGATCTCGTTATTACCTTCATAAACGCAATTATTAAAAGAAAAACCTTGAAGTATGTTTAAGATCTAATTTAAGGCAAAAAATGTAGAAACTGTTATCTTAAGGAGTAAATCTATACTAAGTATTGTAAACAACGAATATAATATATCTAATAGAATAGAATATAGAAGAATAGATATAAGATTTAAGTGTGGGAGAGCCATGCTTCAGCACGAATGGGCCGGCTCAACCGAAGTGATATCACGGCCTCACATAAAACCGTCGTGAAACAACGCTTACGTTGTGTTATTGGAGGCCTAATTACCCTCCCCAATATCTGAAACCCTAACAATGCTTAAATTCCTAATCCCCAAAGGTAACGCGCTTGTTAGTGTTTCGGGTGTTGATGGGCGGCGCCGATTGCTTACCATCAGGTGATCCGTCTGTGCGTGTACCGGCTTATCCCATAAAAAAACGAATTACAAAAGTAACTAATATTATATTATATTATAAACACCTATACATATAAGTGATTTGTATTAGCTCCGTGTAATCTGCCATTCATTACAAACCCTAACACAACTTCTCAACAGAAGTAGAGAAACTATTCCTTAAAAACTTTTACCAACAAAAGTCTTTTCACCTTCAACAAAAAGAAAAACAAAAACGACAAAAACAGGAAACTTCCCCAAAACTGTATCCATTCCAATCATAAATATCAAAATGGGTAGGAAATACGAAATAAACACGTATACTGTGTATAGTAGACACAATATAAATGGTTATTTAATGCGTCTTACCGTCACGCCGCCATAACCGAAGGGGGCGCTAAGTGATGTTTCGTTTTCTTGTTACGGGAAAATGTGCTAAATTTTCCCCGTGTAGGGTGAAAAACTATTCATCAAATAAGTAATGCTACGACAGCACGTAAAAAAGCTCTGTTTGATCAAATTCAAATACATTTTTGTTAAATAAACAAAGCGTAGGAAAATTAATAGACCATCACTACATAATATAAAACTAAGTCGCTATCCGCCGTCTGTCTGTCCCTATACATATATAATAATCTTTAAAATCTAATCTTCGGTTTTTTAACGGATATAGTGATTCTTAACAAAGGTTTATAATATGTATAATACATGCACATTGCACGCATGCGAAGCCGGGGCGGGTCGCTAGTTACTATATATTTGCGTGTATTATATGGCGCTAGCGAAACATAAAATATAGCTGGTCCAACCACTAAAGCTGTCAAAAACCGACATATTTTTGATTAGACTTAATTAGCCGATATCATGAATAGGACTGTGAAGTTTGTAGATATTTAGAAAATAAGTTATACAGCGACAGTTAACAGACGTAAGTAAGAATTGTAGCAATTAGCGTTCCATAGTCTCTGCCTAGCCCATGGTAGACAGGCATGAGATTATGTATGGAAGTTAAACAGCCTTGGCGTTTATATATTTTCAACAAATAATGATACTAGTGAGTCATTTATCTTCCTTAGTTTTAAATTGATGTTTTGTTCTTTGTAAACATAATTATTCGCTTATTAACTTCGTGTGTCGGTCGCGTCACCTTGAGTTCACATCTAGGTTTTAAATCTTAAAAGTTTGCTTTTTGCACTACTTTTTTCATGTTTGTATGTATGTTCAGTGGTGTTAAAAGGATCACGATTCCTATACCTATGCTATTCAGGGATTGATTACCAATGTTTGCTTCTTAAAAAAATATGCGTTTTTTTTATTAATATATGTACGTTTGAAATAAAACCTTCAAAACAATTATCTTTCTCCTTGAAATTCTTTGTATTGCCTAGAATAAACATTTTCTATTGACTTACATATGACCGTTATCTAGATTAAAACAAGTACACGTTGATAATGGAAACTCTTAAATTATACTTTGTATGCAATAAATAAATACAAGTCTTATATGCTAACAATGCTTTTGTTTGGGTTACTCAAAATGTCTTGTCTGGATTCAGTCATATTCATTTACAGGTAGATGTGAAGAATATAAACACACTTTCGAGTATATCCAATGAAATTTCTAGTTACGTACTATAATAACACCTCACAATTATTTCAAATCTGAAAACTTTACAAGACTCTTCTTCTACCTTTGCTGTAATAAACATTAATTGAAATCTCCCCAATTCCTGAATCCCCAATGATTCTTAAACTCCTAATTCTCCAAAAGGTCGGTAACGCACTTGTAACGCCTCTGATGTTCCATGGGCGACGCCGATTGCTTACCATCAGGTGATCCGTCTGATCGTTTACCGGCTTATGCCATAAAAAAATAGTTAAAGGTGGCCCTTTAATTTCCTTCTTAGAAAGTCCTAACAACAATGTATTAAAAGGTAAACCTATATTTAAAACAACACGGCATCGTAACGCACGGTTACAGTTAATTCGAACGGCAGTCTAGAAAACTAGAAATCCAATATAGACGGGAGCACGAAGCGGCCTATGGAGCCTACATACTACCTCTATATACAAACACTTGCATTGTTCACGGTATGCACGGAAACTGATGCTGCGAATATATTCATATAACTTGTTGAAAGTAGAAAAATTGATGCAATAGGGTAGATGCCTAATTGTTATTTGAATGTCCGTCTGACAGATTATTTATTTTATTTATTTATTTATTTTGTTTATTGATTAACACGGTAGACACCAATTACATTAATCAAATTAAATTACAAAAAATATAAAAAAAGAAAACTAAATCAAAGTACATTAAAAAGGTGTTAAAAGAAAATGAGAAAATATAGTAAAATTACAAAACAGATAAAGTTGGACACAAAAAAATATACACAATACAAAATACAATACAACTTAGAATTAAAATTAAATAACAGTAATAATAACAATATAGGTACGTACACAGAATCTGGAAACCGAGATAAAATAACATTTTTATATGTGGTTCTGCTCACAATACACCAGGCAAACAGACATTACAGCCTTATACTTATCATTAAACAAGTCACAGTCCGGGTAGACCTTCATGAGGTTGTTAAACGTAGCAAGAACACGTGGAATTGGAGATTTCGCACGTGCATTAGTGCGGGAAGTAGGCACCGCTAAGAGCCGATGGTTCCTATTGCGAAGATAGTTATCAGGCACGTATAGTCGTATCAACTCATTGTGAAGATCTGGAGCATCAGTTAATCCACGACACACTTTAAGCATTATGCCTACTTGGTCAAACTCCCGCCTGGTCTCCAGAGTGTTGTATCCAAGACATCCAGTCAGGAATTTGGTTGGATACAGATACGGGTAGTAACCAAACAGACGTTTATACAAAAATCGTAGGAACGCTTTTTGTACCTTTTCTAACAAAAGAGCATAAGTGGCCTCATGAGGATTCCACACGCTAGAGCTGGCTTCGAGCTTGCTCCGAACAAGCGTATTGTATAATAGCCGAATGACATGGTCTTTACGGAAATCTTTTGAGTTTCTAAGAACGAAACCAAGTCTCTTGAAAGATTCCTTGGCGACGACGACAATGTGCTCATGAAATGTAAGTCTCTGGTCAAAAGTGACTCCCAAATCTTTCGTCGTTGTTGTTGATCTGGACAAAACTGTACCATTCAGTCTATACTGGTAGTAGATTGGATGCCGCATTCGACCAAAAGTCATTACACAACATTTGGATACATTGAAATTCATTTTATTTGCTACACTCCATTCGTAGACAGCGTCAACATCCTTTTGTATGGCTTCACAGTCCTGCACAGTTTTAACACTGGCATATAGTTTGAGGTCATCTGCGTATAGAAGACATTTTGTGTATTCGGGAACTAATGGTAGGTCGTTTATCATCAACAGAAAAAGTAAAGGTCCAAGAATCGACCCCTGACTCACGCCTGAGCGTGTGTGGTAAGGGCTCGAGTCATAAGTTCCTAGCCGAACAAACTGTTGGCGATCCCGGAGGTAGTCTGCAAGAAGACGCAGGAGGTTCGGACAGAAACCTAAAGTGCTGAGCTTTAAAAGCAGGATGTCATTATTGACTCTGTCGAAGGCTTTGCTAAAATCAAAGTACAACACGTCCACTTGTCGTTTTATATCAAGCTGAGCAGATATAAACTCAGTTAATGTCAGTAAGTTGGTGTTAACCGATCGTTTTTGTCTGAATCCGTGTTGTGCATTATGTAGATGTGTCTGTACTTGTGCATAAATCAATTTGTGTAAGACGTGTTCAAAAATTTTTGCTGGTGAAGATAATATAGCAATAGGTCGATAGCCCTCAACTGCACATTTATCAGAAGTCTTAGGTATAGGTGTTACTCGGGAAGTCTTCCATTGGATGGGATAGTGGCCCGTTTTTAAGCACAAATTGAATATATGGCATAATGGAGAGGAAAATGATTTCTTTAAATGTTTCAGAAGAAAGGGTGGAATGCAATCTGGTTCTGCAATCTGGCAATATTTAAATAGGTATACCGACAGCTTCTGTATACATAGCATTAAGTGATATGAAACTAAGATTAGTATTTAGGCTTATACAGTCGCCAATTATAGGTTAACCAACATTTAATTACTTAAGTGATAATAAAAACTATAAATACAAAAATGAACGAGAACAATAAAGATTATTTTAAATCATTAGACACGTATTTATTTTATTACAGAAAATAATACTTTCGACGATATATTGATTTTATGCGTAGAAATGACGTTTTAGCTTAACTTCTAAACTGATTCGTTTTATCTAAGTATTGTTTTATTATTCGATAAAATAAAAAAATACGTGTCTAATATTTTTTCATTACCTAACTTACGGACTAAATAGATTTATAATTTTCATACCCTGTCATCATCCCAATTAGCTAGATTAGATGTGCTTTTTACAAATCAGACTTATACTTGATGAAACTGCTTTCTTCTTTTGATGTTATTTCATTCCTAAAGGTTGCCGTCAGCCTTTTGCTATCGTTCTTGTCATTGGCTGTTTTAAGAGGAAAAAAATATTAAACATTTCTGATACATATCGAAATTAAATTGTTTTCTACATCTTGCGGTATCCTCCACAATCTGTTAAATCTCCTAATTCAATTTCAATGTACAATCTCTACGTCTTATTCGTATTTGATGATAAGTTATGGGTATTGTTTTAACTTGCTAGTATTTCAGAAGTCATCAAATAGCTTCGTTACTTCAACTTTGAACAGACAGTTTATTAAAAGACAATTTATAATGTATATTTTAGCTGCCTAAAACTGCAGATCATAATAATATACAGATATTACAATTTCTTTGTCACTAAGAACTAAATGTTTATCTGTTTGTTACAGGTTACGAATAAGACGTCCGGCAAGGTGATGGTGCTCAAGATGAACCAGCAACGTGCCAACAGGCCCAACATGTTACGAGAGGTGCAGCTCATGAACAAGCTCAAACATCCAAACATACTTGGGTAAGTCTCATCAATATTACTTAACCTTGTTTCCAAGTTTCATTAAGGTTTGCCAAATTATTAGGCACACGTGAACAAAAGGCATATGGACTGAAGCGGGTATCTAAACTCCTTTTTTGGAGGTTTTACTCCGAATATCCATTGTTTTCTACCCTAATTTTTTCCAGTGTTTTCACTGATATCCAATTATTTATATAGAAGTCTTATTGCTATGTCCATAATCACATAACTTTTATTCAGAAAACGTAACAAAGAAATTCGCTGTTTGGGAACACGATTATAAAACCCCCGTTAATCAAGTTAAGCGGATAACCCTGAAGGCTTATCTAGTAAGTTACAGGGTGCAAACTCATAACATGCACAGTAACGTTTGAGCGGCGATGTCATACACTTCCCCTCTGCAAAGAAGTTGACAGGTCGGAAATGAGGTTTTAATCGATGTCATGACTTGTAAATAGTGACTGAGGCTACTTAGGGTGAGGCTCTACTAATTAACACAAAGATAAGGAAAATCAATCATCCTAAATACTCGAATCGACGCAAGCATCTAGTTCCCAAGGCCATCTAGTCACTTTTTGGACATCTATTGATCTAAAAACGCTATAGGAATTTATATCGTAAAATGCTAATTATACCTACCTATATAGTATGTCACTGGAAACATTTGGATGATAACATAAATCAGACGCAGATATTAATTAAATATCAAAATAAGTTTGAAATGTAACATTTTGTTTGTATGTTTGTTGAAGCAACATTTGTTAAAGTCATGGGAGACTTGACAAATATTTGAGTTCCTAAAGAATATAAAATGTAACGGTCAGGAGGGTGCCAGGCAGCGAGGCGGATCCAAAGGGACACGCCGGCAGACTTCTTTGTCTAACCGATTTATTGTTCGACTTCATGTTTTATTCAAATTTCCAAGGATGAGGCACTTTAAAAATACTCACGATTAACGGAAACTTGACCTTTGAATTTTTTAATTTAACAATAGTTTCTAGGCAAAGTTATAATGTTGAATGATTTTCGGAATTTCTTAATATTAGCATGGTCCTCTATTATATGGGACTTTTAACATGTGGGTATCGACAATACACGCCCTTCTGACGTAATGATACGAATTTTACACTAAAACTTTCCACAATATCACTACAAGTGCTCAATGCATTACTAAATCTTAACTCGACAATAAATCATCTCTCAATAACTGCTCTAAATGATAATACTAGTAAATACGTACGTTTGTGCACGCATAGCCAGATAATGTGAACTAGTGTAGCATTTAAATGATTTATGATGTTCCTTATATTAAAGTTTAAATGAAATCAAGCTTAAATTGTAACGATTTAACATTATTTGCATATTTATTTGATGCCATTTTGAAGTGCGCAGTAGCAACATACGGTGTTAAATATTAAAATGAAATAGAATATCGTATCGTTTTGTTAAGTATGGCCTGTTCTCAATTTCGGCAATTATTTTGTTCTCTTTGGAATTTTACAAAATCCCGAGTTTCTAATTATGGGCTGAGAGGTTTACTCAAGGAGCTATCAATCTACGTCCTTATACTTAATTGCTATAAAACAATAATCTTGTTCGTTTCCACTTCTAAGCATTTTTTCAAGGCATTTTTCTTTTGTTTAAAAATTCTACTTTTAATCTTCTTTAAGGATTGTTCGTTCGATATGCACTGACATTTTGTTAAGACGACTTAGTGTGGAAGAGATCAGAATGAGACAAGATGTTAATACCTACTTGCATTACCATATATTAGTAAAGGTTAATAGTATCAAGAACGTTGCAGATGGAGAGCAAGGTCGGAAAGATCAGTAATCATTAAATACATCATTAGCGGCTTTTAGTCGCTGCTAGGAATGTTCGCTACTGCTAGGATATCTTTAGTAATTCATAAATAATGATCGTGCAAGACTTATCGTACTAGAATAATGAAAATGACTGAATCAATAAAACAGGAAACTATATAACCAAGTGAACCTTGTCTACGATTTTATACCTCTCTTACTTCTTCTACAACTTAGATTAAATGATTCCAAAAAAAAATCCAGATCCTTCGTAACAATACGCTAAGTTTTGAAGGCTTATCTCTACCTACATCAAAGTTTCGTAATTTGTAAGTTGTATAATCCACCAAATTAAAACATCGCTAAATCATTTTTATTGATCTTTAACGAATTATGCGGAAACGCCTAATAAAGAAAAAGAAAGAAATAATTATCAATCAAAAAGTCGTAAATAATTTGACATTTTGTAAAAAAGTCTTTGAGCAAGGTTAAATCCTGACTTGCAACCCATCTTATGAAGTTATGACGTAGGCATCGAACAAGGAACACGATTGTAACTAATTGTATGAATGACGTCAGCGGATCATATGTCTGACTGCGGGATTATTGAGACGCAGCTATATTTAACTGATTTCACTGGGGACTGTTTAATGGGCTTTGTCTCATACACTTAGCAACATCACACTATGCTTTTTATTCCCCAAAGGTACAGAATGTTGTAAGGCGATAATTTTTGCCGTCAATGTTTGTGCTGCATTTTCATCAGTGATAACTCTATTTACGTGTCAGGTACGGTAGTACATTCACATTAGTGTTCTTATTGGATAAATCCAAAACCTCTATTACAGTGTTTTGCTCTCATGCGTTGCATTTTAGCCACTTTACCAACATGGTAAACTAAGTAACATAGGAAACCATTATTATTATTATTACATTTCCTTGAAAGGAACTGTAAAACATCCCTATGAGTAAGTACCTACTTCTTCCGCTCAGTTTAGCACATTGTACTACAGTGCGCCTGCTGTCTGGGAATGCGAAAACTACTTTATTTGTTTATAATACACGTACAAGTTATGTCTAACTTCATTCACTTAGAGGAAACGCTAGGAAATTGTTTTGTATACAATGTTGCAACCTAACTATTTCTTGTTAGTTAAGTATTTTCGCCTTTGCCTATTATTACAATTAGTTTCAAGTTATTTCATATTACTATTCTGAAACGACTATTCAAAGTAAATTGACTTCCCACGTCAATTTCATTGTATTTAATTAAGACTAACTTTTGCTTTTGGATCCAATCCTTAACACAGAGTATTTATTTTGAATGTTTTTGGATCATGTGGCTTATGTAGACGTCCTTCTTTGGGAGGACTCCTTGATAAAATATTGCGGCGCCAATAATATCGCGAGTAATTTGGCCGAGCCATGGCATCCCACAACATTCATGAAATGTGTTTTGTCCTGCCAAGAAAGATAATCTTGAAAGACATAAGATAAATAAAAGATGGCATAAAAAACCTGAAGAGTCACACGTCCAGACAGATAAAGCCAGATCACCTTGATTTTAAGCATTCTGGCAAGGAAACGAATGCGTAAAGTGTGAATCTTTTGTACCATCAGTGTTTTTATATGTGACTTTGTAACCACAGCAATCAAAACTGTTTACGATTATTTTCCCAAGCCAAACTCGTTTGGCAAAATATTCGTCTGTAGGATTTAATTACTCGCTTTTAACAAAAGTTGTGTATTTTCGAGACCACTAGACGTAATGTTTAAAATATGCTGTTTCATTACTTTTATGACGAGCTTCAATTTAATTTAATTAGTTTATTTAGACGGCCGCATGTAAATTTTATGAGGCGCTACTCTGTAATGGTTTGGATGATGTAACAATCGTTATATCTCGCCTCGTTTCTATCCAAAGGAGTTGGCAAAATTGTCTAGTATACAAATTCCATTGATAACCTAATTTATCTCATACAATAGGGGACGACATTAAGGTTTTGTGTTATACATAGGATCATTAATTACTGTTGAGTTACAGCCTTTCGAGTTTACAAACACAAAACTTACGGAGAAGTTGTTTCGGATGCGGATCCGGATTCAGCCAAAATGACAAACTTGTTATCCGTTTGTACTGAGACAAAACATGCAGTCTAACCGAGCTAGCTTGCACTGAGTTCCGCTGTTCTCTTAAACAAATCTCTACTTCCTTGTTGACTTGTCGCCGTTTACACTATTTCAAGTGTATAAGTAAACATTAATGTTCCTTGTATTTTCACTTTGTTCTATCAACTTTTTTCTTTCATAAAATAAATGTACAGTTTACCTACATATAGCATTAATACCAGATACCGTATTATGGTTGGCACACTATCGAGCTGTCATTAAACCAAGTCAAGTGTGAATTATATTATTGCACTACAGGACCTATTGAGTTGAATTTATCACATTGTAAAAATTTCTCCTCTTATTTAAGTGTGAACAATTAATCATGGCGTAAATATTAAAGGAAAGGTCAACAATATGTTATAAACATTTCGTGTCGGCTACCAATTACATATTTGCATACAAAATTCCGATATACGGTTATGAAAATGTAAAGAATTTTGTTAAGATGTTTGACGCATTAATATTGTGTGCCTGCATATTATGTATAATAATTTTGATATTTTGAAGACTAGTATTCTTAGATTATTAATATTTGCCCCTAATAAGTAATTGATTAGGATTATCTTCTTGACATTCTCCTCTTTACAGTCTTCTCTTCTTCGTTATATTGTTCCACACACAACACTCTTTTCGTGATTGTCTGCAAACATGGAAACAATATCAATTTAGCGATTTTTCACGAAATATATTTTTCAGAAATACTGGGGTAATCACATTATATACTACTGTGTGGAATGGTGCGAGAACCCTCGCTGCGGATCACTGTTGGCACACAAATTCGTTGGCCGACCGACCCTTTGTGCCATGTTTGCTCACCAAACAACTGAAGCCTGTTGTACATTACGTCATGAACGGGGCGCTGCGTTTATTGTTTACTTAACTTTTTTATAACAAAAATTGATATTGAGTTTTATACCTACCATGTAGTTTTGTGGCTCCTTCGTACACGGTACATCGCGTTACCTTTAACCCATCGTTTGTCTAAAGGTGGATCCACGCGAGACACAATATATTTTCTATTGTGTCTCATACTACATCGACTGCCTCGTTGGCCGAGTGGTCACAAGTGCGACTGCCGGGCAAGGGGTCTCGGGTTCGATTCCCGGGTCGGGCAAAGTATTGCTGGGATTAAAAAAACTCAGTAGTAGCACGGAGTCTGGCATTGTGCCGGGTATATGGCAATAGGCTCACCCCCTATTACATGGGACTCATAACATAAATAGTGAATAGTGGGTGTTACATTGTACAGTGGCATAATGTGCACCTCTGCCTACCCCTTCGGGGATAAAAGGCGTGATGTTATGTATGTGTCTCATATCATCGCATTCAAGCTATTAATGCCCAATAATATTTTATGTAAGTTGTACTACTTATAATAATTTAATTTGTCTAGAATCTTTAGAATGTTACCACATTCGTATTAATTTATTTCCGTGGTAAATAGTAGCCGTAAATTAATCTCCAATTAATTAAAAATATCAAATTCTACCTTCACGACATCCTTAGATTTATAATCCGCGGATTCTTAGCAAATACCTACATCTATTTAAGAATTGATATTTTTATTTTACATATTACATTTTTATTAAATCACTTTATTTTATTGTATACTTCAAAGGAACCAAGTTTTTTTTCCTCATTATTATGTTTATACAATTGAACTTAAAACAGCGTAAAACATCTGCTTTTCCATTACCAGTCCATACTACATAAAGTCGTATAATAATCTATTTTATACAACTATTTGTAAGTCAATCACGTAATATTTTCAGAAGTCACACAATACATTATATTCACACGTATACATTGTCACTTCCTGATCTCGTACACGTCGCCCGTCGTGTGGCCATTTTTTGGTACTCATTGTCTTTTATATCGCATTACGAGAATGACATTTCGTATTTGTTGTTACCCTGTATTCTGTTTGCATAATATATTACGAAATGAAAACGATGAACCAAACAATAGCACCCACTGTCCCCCATTTCGCCCATTTCCTGCTTGCTTATCTTCGGAAATAAAACAACGCTTGCACTGTTCCGATTGTTTGTCTTACATTTCTTTCTCATCCATCTAACACAGCTGTGTTTTCAGTCACTCTTTCTAGTTTCGCATCAGCTAATGTAGCACATACAAGCATATACGAATGTATATTAAAACATAGTTTACAAAACCAAGGAACCAGTGAAGAAATCTCTGAAGAAGAGCCAAACGTCGAATTATACAAAAGCATTAAAAGCCACATGATTAACGGTTGAGCAACGTGCACCGCGACCGCACCTCGGATGATCATCTATAATTTACAACGATAACCGACATTAAACAAACTAAAAGTGTCAATTAACTAAACTCTTGTGTTCTTATTGCGTGCCCGTAAACACAGCTTCCTAGGAATAATAGACTTGCTTTCTCCCCGATTGTTGCTGTTTTTTGACCTTATCTTATTATCAATGGGAGTTTCATTATAATTAAGACCCCTTTGATATATCTGCACGCCAAGCTGTAATTGGCAATTTGCATTGATTATAAAATGATTATTCAGTGAAGCCTTGACATCTGATTCATTGCGTGATCAATAAGATAATGACTTCGAAACAGAGACATTTTTGTATTTCTTTGCATACAAATTGACATCACTGTCTAAAGAAAACTGTAAATAGAGTGTTTGGATGTACAAAGAGCATGTAACATACCATAGGCACGTCACTCAGCTAATGTGACACTCTACTAGCATAATGATGAACATGCGAGTCGAGGAAAAATTAGTTATGGCTGTCGTGCTCATGAATATATTTGAACAGTGTTTCAAGTTCAAGTATCTTGTCTATCAAATCTAGCATATCTGTGCGGACAGTTCCAAATGAGATCACATCTATTTGTTCAGTTGAATGTACGGCAGGTTGATGGTCCGCATCAATGAGGCCATCTATTGTGGTCGCATCACTGGGAATCATTATTGTGGCATCTCCAATCTTTTCCCAATTACTTTCGAGACCATACTCGCACGACGCTCATTGTGTACACAACACACTTTATTATCATAATCGGATTTCTAATCATCTGTGTGCATCGACCTTGATATTTCGCGTGGGAGAGTATTAACGGAATGCATCTTGAATTTTGATTACAAAATTAAAACTAGATTACACATCGGGTTATAAGACAAGTCATGCATTAATCCAGCAGCCTTGAATGGAGTGTATAATTAATGCAAGATCATTTTTGTAATGCCCTCATTTGTAAACATAACAATGGTGCAATCAATCGTCGGTTTATTACGGGTGCACTTCAATGGTTGCTTCTCTGGTGTTAACTGGTACATTCTCTAGGCTTTCCACGGTTTTTCATGGCACATGGTTTTTGTATTTGTAAGAATAGGTTCACTTTCCCTCATTGAATGTGGTTTTCACATACATCGGCAGTGATTATTTCTGTCAACCAAGTGATTTAAATCAATATAATTAATAGCGTTCATTTTCTATGGCAAGGCGGTGAAATTTAAACGCATAGATACTGAAATTAATGGGATTAGATACGTATTCTCACTTACAGATATATTATCTTTCCTCTCTAATTGCTGATTTATTGCCCAAGAAACACTGCTTGAGACTAGGCCGCAGCGCTGACTAGCATAATTACATTTTCTCCAACAGTTACAGTTAGAATTACTTTGACTAGATTTTTTTGTCCAATTTTGCGGAATAACAATTTCGGTTCGTTCGTAATTAGTCTTTAAGAGTGTTTATCATTCCTACATATTTAATAGTATTAATTTATTTTCCAGGTTCATGGGCGTGTGCGTACATGAAGGGCAGTTACACGCACTCACGGAGTACATGGAAGGTGGTTCCCTTGAGCAGCTGATCCTTAGCCGGCCGCCGGAGCCCTTGCCGCAGCCCCTCAGGGTCTCCCTTGCAGCTGACGTAGCAGAAGGCATGATGTACCTACACTCCCTCGGTGTCTTCCATAGGGATCTTACTACTAAGGTAAGATAAATAAAATAGTTAACTAATACTACTTCAACTATAAATACTGGACTCGAATAAAGGACGTAAGGAGGGAGAAAATCTAGAAAAAAATAATGAAAGGTCTATAGAATTTAAAGAAAGGTGTTAAAAAACAAGCCAAAACTTTTTTATTTCACAGATTTGAATGCATTTCAGTAAAATAATATTTTTCTGTTTCCAGAATGTATTATTAAGAAAGTATGGAGAAGGCGACTACATGGCCGTTGTCGCTGACTTCGGCCTCGCAGCTAAAATACCTCATCCTGTGTAAGTATTCGTTCTCAAACTATGGTTTTCATAATAAGAAAAGCCTGATCTAGACTGGAGAAAAGCAATAAATAATACTTGAAACATCAACATCCGACGTAAACCAGGTGAAGCGTAATGCGATGCAATTTCCACCGCCAGTCTAATTTTAAATGTACACGCATTGTAATAAAGGCGAAAATATATTATTCACTTTCATAATAATTTATGTACGTTGTAGAAAACGAATATTAACAACTAAAATATTGAATTTAGCAAAAAACCCTGGTAGAAATCTCATTTTTACAAAAACTTCAGAAATATTTTTTTTTTTCAATAGAAAATTATTTCGTGTTGCCAAACTATAAAACGGTTATCGAATAGAGAAATAAAGATATCATGCAGTCAGCTTTGGTCGATTTGCAGACACGGCAAATCGCTTCATTATCGCCTAACTGTACATTTTGAGATGACCGTAAATAATCGATTCAAACGTAGAGAGTACCGCGTTACGTGATCATAGAATGAAGCTATTACAATATCAATAGGAACGTACAAGAGACAGTTGCCCAAGTTCGTTCAATACTTATGTAAAACCGGTCATCGGTCTGTGCATTATGAAATAGTACGTACCGGAGTCGAAGAGCTGTGTGATAGAGCACCTGTGTGTTTTGTCGCAGCGCCAAGATAACTGGACTAGAAACCGCCACCAACATAGCAACTAGAGATCTACAGTATGTTTTACTCACTTTACTCAACGTTTTTTTTTTAAACAAACTTTGCCCCACGCTGAGATTTTCTCCTGTGTCGTTACAAACATACAAGTTCACATACACATGACACCCAGACCCGAAACAACAATTTGTGGATCACACAAAGTGTTGTTCCGTGCGGGAATCGAACCCGCAACACGTTGCACGGCAGCCGGTTGCCCAGCCACCGCACCAACCGTGTAGTCATAATACTGTCAAAATGCAATTGTTAGATACACAAGACTGATCAAAGGCAGATCAATACACAGAAATTATATTATTTTAATTATTTTAATTGACCATCCATATATTTTATATCAATACACAGAAAGCAATAATCATTATTGTAAAATTAACATTAATTCTTCACCGTTGAGAACCTATAACATTCTCAACTTGAAAGAGAGAGCTCCCAGATGGAATTAACCATCCAGTGGGAGCGCTCTACGCCCATAATAAGTCGCAGACCAAAACAGAGGCATGGCTTATTGTCTATGGACAGTTTACTATGATGCAGAAAAAAAAAGAAAAAATAATTGTCACCAACGACATACCTACACGCATCTATTACAAAGCTTCAATAAGAATATGGCACTAGAAAATCTGATACATGTTCCTAATAGGGTGAGGCCCTATTAGTGGGTATCCTATTCGTGCTTGTATAAGAAGATACCAAATAAAATGTATTTGGAAAAGCTTATTTCGGATAAGCAGTTTTGATTGATTGGTCCCAAAAAACCACAAGAAACAGTATACATTTGAACATCGCTCGTATCGAAACTGGATAAATGAAATAAAAGAATCATTTTAATTTAAAGACTGATGTGATAACGATCTTCGATAAAAATCTCTGTTGTTGTTATATGCTAGACAGCTTTAGTTTATAGTAATAATAAATTAATATTATGGACCTAGTTATTGGCATGTCTACAAAAGTTAAAAGAAGAAAGACAAGTGCAGTTTGGTAGGCTCCATGAAATTACGTAATAAAAACAGTATGAAAATTCATCAAATACCAACATCTATCTACGGAAGATATCTTGCAAGTTTTTACATATATGACACCCTCGAAGGGAGGCAGAAGTGCACATTATGCCACTGTACAATGTAACACCCACTTTTCACTATTTATGTTAGGAGTCCCATGTAATAAATTGGGGGTGAGCCTATTACCATATTCCGGGCACAGTTCCAGACTCCGTGCTACTACTGTGATTTTTTTAATAAACCAGTAATACTTTGCCTGACCCGGGAATCGAACCCGAGACCCCTTGCCCGGCAGTCGCACTTGCGTTAAGCGTGGCATTAAGCGCCGAAGTGTGCACCTCTGCCTACCCCTTCGGGGATAAAAAGGCGTGATGTTATGTTATTTCATTATGGTCACATACACCTTTTCCGATTGAGGAAGCTCAGTGTAGTAATGGTACATTTGTACTTCGTAAACTATGTGCTTCATGTGTGGGCGTGCAGTTGCGTACTCGCACGCGTGTCAATGCGTACACACGAACGATAGCGAATTACTACACGTCTTGAGTATTGTGTATTAAAATTACTGCATTTGCAGTAACTGTGTAATAAAATAATTGCTTATTTTTATAGACGTTTTCGAAACACGGGGGCCACTTTTAGATATATTTTGACGAAATGAGAACTTCTTTCGTTGTCCTAAAGTTGCTTTACTCTGGAAGAGATAAGCAGGTTCAAATATGCGAAATCTTCTGTTTTATTGTATGACTATGGTTAGAATGACCTAAAACTGCATATCTAGTTTCCAGAATTAATGAAACAGACAATAAATAAAACAATATAACTTAGTTTCTTAAATCGCTAATTGACAACCATACCAATTTTTACGGAGTAATTAGTAAAATTATTAATACAATTAAGTTGTCATAAACTTAGCTGCAGTGTTGCGGTTGACATGATCACGCTATTTCGCGTGTGAGGTTAGATTTTCAGTGTCACTATAGTAATATCTTTGCTAAATATCTGTAAAATTATATTCAAAAATGTAGTACCTAAAGTCATGGCAGATCCATATTTTGTAAAGAAAGCTCTTAGGCCTGCCGTGGTCTCTCATGTACTGTTGATAATGATGATAATAGGAAGACAAGTAAATAGTATATTTGTGCACATTTTTCATTACAAAATACAGGTGGAAGCAGTCAGTCGATTATTTTCCCCCCTTAAAAAAAAAACAAAAATATTTAATATAGACACAATTAAAGAACAATAGGTTGCGGTCACCGGTGTCCTCGCGGTGTTTGGCAGTTTAAATCGTCTTTCCATTAAAAACATTTACCGTTTGCCTTTATATCTTTACTTTTCTATGTTGCCATTTCGGACTGGTTGGGAGTTGTGATAATGTTTTTTTTATCTCTCTTTCCAGGAACGGTTACAGGCTACCAAGCGTGGGGTCTCCATGGTGGATGTCCCCGGAATGTCTTCGCGGACGGTGGTACGACCATCGCTCAGACATATTCTCCTACGGGATCATTCTGTGCCAACTTATCGCCAGGGTTAGTTCAATACGCTATGCTAATTATGCTATTTATAATACGTTTCCTTTCAAAAACTCACTTTTTCAACAACAATTTTAAGTGTAGGATATTGTTCAATGTTTAAATCTACTTGCTGCTACACGTGTGAGGTTATGTAAGATAAATATGCACTAGTTCAGACCTTTCTATGACATTGAAGTTCTGAATGCGAAGCAGTAATACAAATAATAACGTCGTAAGTGATGTATTGCAGGTGGACGCCGACCCGGACGTGCTCCCCCGCACGGACAACTTCGGCCTCAACTACATGGCGTTTGTGGAGCTCTGTGACGAGGACACCGTACCCGACTTCCTTAGACTCACCTTCAACTGCTGCATCGTAAGTCACTTTACGATACTACGTTACCTGTTGATTGCAAATCAAAACAATTTCCTGCATATTTTGTCAAGATTATCTGTTTGAATTCAACTGGTTGGTTTTTGGTGTTTACAGTATGAACCAAAAGCGCGTCCGCTATTCCCAGAAATAGTGAGCAAGCTGGCCGAAGTGAAGGAGAGCCTCGATGACGCTACCTGGGGCTCGCATAGTACTAACAACCATCATGAGAGGTTTGTGGTCAAATTAAACAACTGCGTCGTATGCTTGTTAATTATTCATAATTATTTCCATGTAATTTATTACATTATGCAACACGGCATAAACAATAACTTAACATGTTTTCAGTGAGGATGCAGATTCATCAGGTCCTCGGTCGTGTCCTGGCTTGTACGCGTGGCGGAGACCGCAGCGGTTCCGCTCCGAGGGCAGCCCGCGACACAACGACCACGACCAACGTCAGTATACCACTCTGTACTCGGCCGCGCATACAGCCAGCGCCCACTGTAACCAGTGTCGTAACCAGTCTCTGTCTGTACAGTGCAACACAGGCGCTCGCTGTCCGAACTGGAGTGGGGCGGCGCGGGCTGGCCCGGCCCCGCCGGCCCCGCCACCGCCGCCGCGCACCGCTCCGCCTGGGCGCTGGGGCCCGGCGCGGGGCCCGCGGGGGCCGCCCCGCCCCGCCTGGCGCGCCTGCACCGCCTGGCGCACATCATGCTGCTGCGGGGACGCGCACGCCGCGCCCACCGCCGCGCGCCGCCCGCTCGACACCTTCCGCGGCGTCAAGAAGATCCTCGAGCCGCACCCGGGCTCGGCGTCCTGCGCCTCGCTGGCGTCCCCGCCGCGCGCCGCGTCCCGCGCCCTGGAGGCGGCGGACGACGCGCGCGCCGCCTCGCTGCCGTCCTCGCCCGCGCTGTCGCGCCGCGGCTCCCTCGACGCGCGCGCGCCGCGCTCTCCTGCGCACGAGCTGCGCCGCCGCGCTTCTTGCGAGAGCGGTATCTTCTCCGTCGCCAATGAGGAGCTGTGTCCCGCGCGGGCCGGGGCCAAACCCCGCGCCGCCGTCTGTCCTTGCTCTTTGGTGGGCTGCCACCGATGTTGGTGGTGGCGCCGCGACCCCGACGTGAGCGAGGCGACCCCCGGCCCTGCGCCCACGGGCGAAGCTCGCGCTCGACTCTGTGCCGACTGCCTCTTACAATACGATCGCGCATTAGACGCTCGGCCACCGCGCCGCGCGCCACTGGACGACTCCGCGCTGTCGGCGCCGTCGGGCTCGCTCCGCAGCCTGGACGAGGACGCGGCGACGTTCCTGTGCGGGCGGCGCGACGTGGAGGCGGAGGCGGAGGCGGGCGCGGCCGAGCTGTGCGAGTACCACATCCTGGCGGCGTGCTGCTGCGCGGCGGGCTGGACGCGGCGCGCGCGCGCCGGGCCCAGCAAGCGCAGCTCCAGCGTGTACACGGACAGCTCGGAGGACGTGGCGTCGCTGGCCGGCTCCGACAGCCTGTACATGGAGGAGCGCCTGCCGCGCGCGGCCCGCTCGCTGCAGATCCGGCAGATGGTGGAGTACTTCGAGCGCGCGGGCGCGGGGCAGCCGTGCGAGCGCCTCCGTCCGACGGCGCGGCTGCGGCTGGCGCCGCGCAAGGCGGCGGCGCGCCTGACGCTGTGCGAGGGCGCGGTGCGCTCGAAGCTCCCGTTGTTCGACAGCCGGTCCTAGCCCCGGCGCGCGCCCGGCTCCGCGCCCGGCTCCGCTGCCGGCTCCGCTCCCGGCTCCGCGCCCGGCTCCGCTCCCGACTCCGGGCCTCGCCCGCGGATTTGTGACTTCCATAGTGTTTACAGAAGAAACTATTTTTTAACGTAACGAAGGCGACCCTTATTCGCGTATTGAGAATATTTGATCACAATAATATATAGAAGCAGTATTTCCCAAGGCTAGTGCCGACGTCCCGTCGAGGAAGACGGCCGTACTATAGGCGCGGCGCGCGGCTCGCGGCCGGTCTGCCGACACAAATTCACGTTTGTTTGACTGATTGTAACTTCGTACTTTGTTTATATTTGTAATAAAGGCGAACATTGAGATTAGACAGAAAGTTGTAGAGGAGGTTAGTCGAAATTATCGGTGATATAGTCAATGTGTGGTTGAATAGTCCTTTATAACGTGGCCTATCCGTATATTATGAAGGCCTTTTAGTCTTTTTTAGTCTAAATATTATAGACGGCATCGCGGTCTGAATTTTGATTTAGCTAACACGTCGGATGCAGTGTTGCAACATGTAAATAATCATTTATTTAGGTTATGTTTCAATAACTTTATAATTTATTTTTATGTTTCCAGTATTAAATATTACTTGCCAGTTTACAGCTACTATAAGTGTGTACATAATTTAAATTTAAAGTTAAGTTGTCATAATAAATGTTGGCTACGGATTAGTACTGATCTTAATATGTTACGTTGACAGTGGAATACTGATGGCGTTTAGATCCTATTTATAATTTAACTATACAAAGATTCATTTTGCTATATTTCGTTAAACTTCGACAAAGTCATATTATTTAAAATTATTTTTACTTTGAAAGAACTTTTTTTATTTACCTTTACCTTACATCATAAATTATTTATGTATCTACTCATAATATACGGGCTAAATTCGTCCTAAAATTATATAAAATTACAAAATAAAATAAATGGCGCGTTGCTAGTCTTTTAAAACGTGTCATTTTTGGCGAATTCCGTCGAATTAATAAAATAATAAAATTGTGTTAACTACTTATGCGAAAATGTATGAAGTGTAATAGAAAAATGAACGACCATTTAGAACGAATGTTTATGACTTAAAACGAAAACATTGAACAAATGTCTTTAATGGATGCACATGTTATGTTGAACTTTTGTGGATTCGTAAATTAAAGTCAAGAGAACAATATATTCGTGAATTAATTTTCTCTTGTCTTTGATATATGACACCACGTGCATCCACCTTCCACTTTCCTCTAAACAAAATATAATGTACAAATATGTGTCAAAAATCACACCGAACTATAAAGAAAACATACTGTTTTGTGTTGCTCGTTGTTTTACTTTCTACCAAAATGGTAGAATTTCCAAACTAAACATTGAAAATTATATTTTTTGCATATTATTATCCGAAAATTTGCATAAAAATACATACAATAGCTGATATTATTAAATAAAATAACGGGCAACACTGAAAACGTAATAGTAATATCATATTTTTGTAAATACAGTATTAATATAGTGTATTTAAATATCATCGTCATCTTATAGTATATTTTACTTTAAAATCATGGTTATATTGTTAAATTCAGGGTATACATGGTGTAAATATTTAATGTTGAGATGAAGTTGTGGAATACTTGAACCGCGAATGCGGCTTAGATGTCAGTGCCAAAAGAAAATATTTCAAGAAACAAATTATAAAATCGTCTGCCTTAGACACTGTGCCGTTTCGTTCAGGACGGTAACATAAACATATTTTAATACTGCCACGATTTACCGTAAAATAAATCTCAAAAGTTTATTCAGATATAAAAATACAATACACTTTTTAATCGTTTCTAACCAAGAATACACTGTACATTTAATTTACTGACTGAACGAGAGGGTACCGTGTCTCAAGGCTGACTAGAACGTCAGGATGTCGAATTAGTGTTGAAACTCCTTATTTATATATTATGAATGAGCAATTACGTGTCCGTCCATAACTAGGCGAAGAAATGCTTTGTGTCCTTGCAGCTGTACGATCTTTCAATACACACCGTTTTCAATAAATGTATATGTGTGCTAATACATAGATGGAACTTACTCTCAACTTGCTTACCTATTAGATTTGAATGCATTTCTATCGACAATTGATCTCTAACATGTATTGAGTCTCCTAAGTGCCGGTAAATACCCTTTTCAGTACATGCTAGAGATCAATTGCCACTAATTGGACACTAAGACTGATAGTGGAACTACTTAGCAGCTTTTTGCAGCAGATGCAACATACTGTAATATGTGAGACAGTAATCATTATGTTTAATATTCTTAGATGTCGCCACTAAAGATAGAAGCAACTATGTTTAGTTTCCATTCTGCAATAATTACGAATACTGCCTCATATCTTACTAGTTTGTGTATACTAGAATTCACTGTGGTATTTACTACAACAATTTGTTGTTTTATATATTTCAATTGTTGTTGTATACATATATTGTCCTAGCCATCCATATACCTATGTTGTCCTAGCCGATTTTATTAGTTAATAACATTTTCACTGTACCTAATTCAATGTCATGCTATCTACACAATTCAACTTTTAGTAACGATAGTTGCTATTCTGCTGAAAACAAAGCAAGATAGCGTTAATGTAGAACAAATTTTACCTAAGTATTGACGTAAAGAGATGAGCATGATTGCTTTTTGCAAATTCTTGAAACCATTGTGATGTGAAGTTAAGTATAATCAATTAAAATTTGTCGAATGAAAATCTATTTATTTATCTTATCTGCGATCTCAAGTAGTCGTGAAGGTGATCTCATCGAGCAAAATGCCTACATATTGAATTGCCTATCTCTGTAATCTGCCAAATAGGTAAATCCCGTGTGCGTAAAAAATATCAGTTCCAAGTATCAGTGGTACCTAAATCACGGTCTACTTGAGATTTTGTGTACTCTTTCGTACCAGAATCTACGAACTGATATACCCTTTGTAATGTAAAGCATTGTATTTCATTGTAGTTCTGGACCGATAGCATTCTGCCTAATATCTATGATCATCACGTTGTCTTGAGCTCGCCAGTAAGATCTATAAATAATATTTTTTAATACATGTCTGGTGATCAAATAGTTGTTAATATTAACTTTAATGTTGAAATAATCGACTAAATTTTAATTGCAATAGTTCGATTTTGTATTTGAACAATGTATGTACTGTAAGTTTCATAATCTTTGTAATACTTTCAAAATTGTAATAGACATTTCGACCGAGTTAGTATAGCCAAGTTTATTTATTTATTCAAATTAGTAGTGATGTGCAATAGAAAACTATAAAGAAATTATTAAATGAATTATGTTTTTGCTTGGCAACCATAAATTAATTGTTTATAAAATGACTTCAGCATGTTTGACCATATAAATCGAAATAAAATCAAATTACAGTTTCGAAAAGTAAAAAGTCCCAGGTATTTATTTAATGTTTTGAGTTTAATTAATAACGAATATTAAACTCGTGTCACGTTAGGTGTAACTTTTCTCAATAAGATAATAAAAATGTTTCAGCACTAATTCGGATCAGTGTTGCCAGCTGGCTTCCTATTAATTATTCGTATATTTTTGTCAAAGGGGACAAAGTTACACCGCAATAAGCATATCAGTTACAGAGTGTAGGTAATGGTTAGTTATTTTTACAATATTTAGGTTAACGCGAGTTTCACACGGCCGATTATATTTTACATTACTGGTTTACAGAATTAATTATTTTTATACACATAATAATTTATTTAATAAGTCCGTAGAAAATAATTGTTTGATATAGGCCCTGGTCACGTAATATTCGTAATGTTTTTTGGACAATAATATGGAGCCCCCCTTTTCATAACCTAGGACCGTGTTATATGCAAGTCACAAGCACCAACAGTCAATTACTACGCCCCTGATTCATTGTCCCAAATGTCCAATGTAATGTGTTATTAACCTCTTATCTGCCGGCCGGCATTCAGTCCCCGCCACCAATACCACTGGTTAAACAATATTAAACATACCAATGTCTGTATGTAACGTACTTAACAAAAAATGAATTTATTAACAGCAACAAAACTTTCATCAAATAGTTGAATCACTATCTTATACTAACGACATTATTGCATCATTGTTGTAGGAATATTATCATTCGAAGGCAATAGATTATTCGAGAACTATCCAGAGCTTTCACGTTATCATTACGTTCTTAATAATATAAATAGGTACTTCATAATCAGTTATCGTCCACAGACGTGAATGGCGATAAGATACTCTTGTTACTTATTGAATTATAAAACAAGCATTTAAGTTTCTAGGCTGTACTTACTGTTTCATGTTAATGTTGTAGAACAAAGACGACAAAGTCTTTAAAGATCCGGATGTTCAGTAGATATTTCAAATAAAGTTACTTAGTTCCTCCACTGACAATAATATAATATTACTTTCATTTATCATAGTTAATTTTAAAGTGTTTTATTGGTAGGTACTTCTAATCTCACACTGTCCAACTATGTAGGTCATCACTCTCCCATAACAATGACGTTTCTTAAACAATTTTATGGCGCGAAAATTTGACAACCACATTTTTTTATTAGGTATGCCATATTTTTGCAGCCAGTAATAAATATCATCGGTCGTGTTGACTTCATGTTGAGTTATAAGTTTGTGTACATAGCTCCTAACGTTCCTTGTTTTTAAGGCACTAACGGTTTAATGTAGAACATTTTCTTATACGGTTGTGTCATTTACAAACCCAGACTTATTATAGTTATAGTTGATGAAGCCGATTAGGCAGTTACTGAACGAGAATTTGTAAAGTGAAGATCGTATTAAATATATTTTGTTTCAAAATTTTCTTGTTTTTTTTCTACCCTGTATGATGTATGATGCATTCACAAAATCACATAACACATGGATGCACGATCAATGGAGCGCCAAATCGAGCGATCCATTACGTACCTCCCTAATGTTATGAAATTATTGCCCGACTTAAACAGAAAGCATAAGAAGAAAGAAAGTAAATTCCAATCGATGCGGTGAGCAATCTTAACGTTATCACCATATATTGTCACTTAGGTAAGTTATTCTTACCCACAAATTTTTCACCTGCTCCCGCTCGATGGCGCCCCAAAATTCTATACAAGTATCCTCAGTCGTCTTCTATGAAGGGTAGGAAGCTGCAATAAAATAGGCGATAGTGTATCGCCTATTCCTCGTCTATATAAATGACACGCTACCCCAAAACAGAAGCATTCATTGATGACAGCAGATGAAGATTCTTTCTACACCGGATGCATTAACATTCCTAAAGAAAACAGACTTTTGTCTGAAATCGACACCAAAATCCTCACAAATAGGGGTCCAGTTTAACCCCACGAAGACACAAATCTGCGTATTTAGCGCTTTAAAACTGCCGTTGGTTTTATTTTCCAAAGGTCTTCCATCGTTATCGATTTTGAGGTTCACGCTTAATTTCACTCCACTTTATACCAATGCCTGCCACTTCAGCCACATGAGAGCCCATAGGAGCCAGTTGTCGTCTGTCGGGAAACGGAGGCTGTAGCCGAAACCGGCATAAAAGGATTATTATTTTTATTATTACTTCAGCCAATACGGTGAGTTTCTAACACGATGCCCCTAAAGTACCTAAGTAAACAGTTGTGTTCAATAGATTGAGGCAGTATTTCACACCAGCGCATCATCTGTTGCTCTGTAAAGGCTCAAATCCGGCTACGACTGGAAGACTGTGATAATATTCTTTCTCATCTTTTAATAATGGAATCAAACCAGTACCAGTACCAGTTTCTTCCTCTGGGCCGCATCCAGCAGCGAACGTTGTCTACCAGGATGTTTTCGAGTAATTTTAAGTCTGATACTAGTTTAATCAGGCCATGACGTGAACTGGGAAGTGATTTACTCTTTCTGCGAAGCAGTACCTATGCTATAACTAAGGAGCAGGCGGAGTGAGGGGAAAAAAACCTCCCCATATCCCAGTCACGTCTCATCACATTTAACATTCAAATGGTAATGCAAAATTATTGAAAGTAACGCTACATTTACCGAAATCTAAATTTTACAAATAATTCAAAATGTTCGCTTTAGTTGTTTATTAAAATATAAAGATGGTTCGATAGTTTATTTTTTATTTTTGCATTTATCAGATGCAGCAGCAGCAGCAGCTTCTCTAGCCAATTTCTGAAACAAAAAGTTAAGTTTGTTTTATTTCTTCGGAACAGAACTTAATCAAACTTAAGTATAGATTAAAAAACATTATGACTTCTTTATAACGTTCAATAAGGAATTTCTATGATAAAGGTCCAATGTAATATTAACATTAAGTCGAAACTGGTTAAGCCTTAGACTTAGACAAAGCCAACCCCAACTTGTTGGTAAAAAAGCAAAGAGTAACAGGTGATTCGGGACTTACTTCTTTCTTTTGCTCTAGGCAGCGTTGTCGCTTAGCTTCAAGGGCCGCACTATCTAAAGTTGCATTTGGGTCTTGCTTAGGAGCAAGATATGAAAAACAGAGTTTGTGGAGAAATGGTGAGGAACTGGTGTCGGCGGTCTTCAAGAACAATGCGAGAAGAGCTAATAGTAGGCCAGCCGTTCCAAGCAGGATCCGCACGGGAGTGAAGCGCGAGGGCGGGTCCCGAGGTGGAACCCAGTTACCATACTCGTCATAGCCGCCCTCCGGACCAAAGGCTCCTTCGCCATCCACACCATCGTACGCACCGCCTGCTGGTCCGTATAGTCCACCACGGAACCTACGTGCTGCAAGTCTTTGTGCACGTTCTCGCTCCTTCCGCTGTTTTTCTTCTAAACTGTTATAATTCACAAAACATGGAGTTGTATTAAAACGATTCGGAATACAAACCAACTTAATATTGATGTTTGCCTTTCGTATTATTCATAAGTAGATACCTACCTAACGCTCTTCCTAAGTGCATGCTGTACCTAAGTAGCATATGGGTACTTACCTACCTATTTCAATTGTTCTAGTAGATAAGTAATAATAGGTATTCACACTAATCTTGCTGTATAAAAAGTTAATTATAGACTTAGGTACCTACGTACTAACTACGTATTAATGTACATTTGAGCATAATAACAGGATAATTATTTATAATTAAAGGATAATCTTATATATACCTCTATATAAAAGAAAGTCGTGATAGTTACACCACTTATAACTCAAGAACGGCAGAATAGATTTGGCTGAAAATTGGTAGGGAAGTAGTTTAGAGCCAGGAGACCGACATAGGGTACTTTTTAACCAAAAATTTTTTTTTACTTTTTTCCGAAAACCACGAACGGGGACGGGAAAAAATGGGATGGTACGCGTACGAAGTCGCGGGCAGAAGCTAGTTATTTATAATTATCCTGTTATTCAGGCAGATTAATATCCAGTCACGACTGGATATTAATCTAGATGACTCAGTATACAACGACAAAACAATTTCTCAATAAGTAATCCACAAGTACTTCTAACACAAATAATTAATACGTTCCTTTTTTTAATAGGTAGGTATCTACTGTAGCTTTCTTTTAAAAAGACTATTAAAATTCAATATTGGTAATAACCATGAAATAATTACACGGTTCGTGCCGGGGAGTATAATACAGGTGGGCCTGACCTATTGGGCTGCATTATGCATCGCCTCCTTGCCTAATTCTGGCAGCGCCCATGTACCCAACAAGCGAAAACAAATCAGTTACGTACTTACCAATCGCACATAATTAAATTTCAATTTGATATGACTTGTTTATATTTTTTTAGCGGTTGTTCTTGTGACCGGTGCGACTTTCGATGTTACGGAAAAAATAATTTATGTAATATTGTTGCGGACACCCATCTTTGTTTGATTTCACTGACGGAGCAATTGACATTGACGTTGTGTTCTTCTTTTTTCTTGTTGGGAGAGAAAAAAGTTCTTATTCACGCATTAGTCTGCGCCGCCGCCGCCGTGGAGTTTACACTGCAAAGCATATTTTGATCGAATTCAGTGCTACTTAAATTACAGTAGGTTCAGGTATAGTCGTGGTAGCCCGATGATGTAGCCGAAAGGGCGTCAAAAGCATGAGGGGGGAAATATAACTCTTTGCTTCTTCAAGTGAGAGGAAGTATTTTCTCAGCAGTAGGTCAGTTACCAGCTATTGGTGATGATGCAATTACATTAAACCACTTCTCACACGCTGTGGTTGCCGACAAACTGGTGCCGGGTATAGGTAAAATGTGTACGTTATTTTATTGCAGGGTTGACGCCATTATTTCACGATTGATTCTCGCGAGACAGCATTTTGTGTGATCCATAAAATACATATATGTTCTCATCGGTTATGCATGTGTTTGTATGTTTCCTTTTTGCCTATAATATGCCGTCCATAAGACGCTACCCAGGACTAAGGATAAGATGACACTAGTGTCATCTTATTCTTGAATTATTCAAGAGTCTCTAACATAAATTATTATGTTTTCGGATTACTCACGTAATAATTTGACAAGGAACTCGACTAGTTTCAAGTAGCAGCGCGACAGTCGCCGCGTCGCGGGTCGCGAATTGCTGCTCATGAATATGAGCCTCTAGCATGGCTTGAAACTAGTCGAGTTTCTCGTCAAATTATTACGTGAGTAAGCCGAAAACATAATAATTTATTTAATATGTCTCACGAAAGTTACAATACAAATATAGTCTCTAACATTTTGGGATGAACTTGTTGACCATGTATGTGGTGTGGTACGTAACTACCTACCTAGATTGTGTGCAGTTTGGTAATTGGAATACTTTCAGACTAGAACAAACCACCAAGTACCTTTTTTTTCTGACTAAAAACCACCCCGTTCCTACTCCTGCACTTCGAGCCGGAGCCCCGGCAACCCGTTAAGTCTTCCGCGGCTCCGTATCGGCATCAGCCTTGTTAGGCCCCATCTGTGGTGGTCTGATGGCTCCTTGAGGCGCGCGCGGAACGCGACGCGCCGTACGCTCGGGCCTGGTTCTGGTCAGGCGGCCAGTCACCCATGCTCGCCGTCCGCAGGCCCGTGCTTACGGTGGCCGGAGATCGTCTCGCGATCCCCGACGCCCGGAGTGTCTCTCGCGACGGCCGGGTCGTGAGGAGGTTCGTTCCCTCACGCGCTCCGCCTCCTCCTTAGCTAGCATGACTGCTTCGCAGAAGGAGGAGACGGCATCCCAGTCCCCCTCGCTCCGTACCATGGTCTGAACCAGAGCCGGACGCGAGAGGTCGCCGTCGCCGATCACATTCCTGAGGACACGGCGGTGCTCAGTCCACGCAGGACACACCGCCACCGTATGCTCCACCGTGTCCTCCGGGCGAAAACCACCAAGTACCTACATATTGCATTTAAGTGTGGAAACTATAGAGAGAAAGTGTGGAAGTGGAAACTACAGTTTTTTATTCTTCTCCTTTTATAATATCTTCTGATTCACTTCGTTGCGGGAACCAAGACAGTTACTCATGTCCCTGGGATGCGCCGGACTTCAATGTTCCGGTGTTTTCATAGTTGTATCTTGTATCTACTGTAGATCCTGGCTTACAGGAGTTGCAGCGGTTTTGGGAGGTTGCGGTGGGCTTGTCCCAATAAAAAAAAATTGCATTTCGATTTTAACTCACCGGCTTGGAGCGTTCTTTTTCTTTCGAGCATGTGCACTTGAATTGAGCACTAATTTGCTGGTTCATTTTCATCGGTTTCTTTGGTTTTTCAGATAATAAGAATTTGTAAATCAAGGTGAGTATGCCAGCACCGACGAACATTCCAGCGAAGAACGGTATCAGGTTGTTGTTGTCACGGTCTCCCATTTTGTTTCAATTTTTCTCATTTTTGTATCAAATATGTATAGCTTTTTGAAATGTATTTGTTGTGTCAAATGTCAATACGGTACGCAGATACCGTACGTCTGAAAAACTCTATGCATCCGAATGATATTTCTTTTAAAAAGGACATAAGCATAGAGTAACGAAACGACTAATTCATCTATTCTACCTTTGTACATACATACCTGCATACAGTCTGAGACCTTAGAGGATTTTCTAAGAGCAATTAAACATGAATTTATGAAGCTTTTTCAATAAATAACGAACAAACTGGAACTGACTTCCAAATCCAATGACAACATTAGCAACATTAGCTTTCAATTAAATTAAATCCTTCAGTTGAATTAAAGAATTGAGGCAAGAAGAGAAATAAAACAAACCTATAGCCAAGCTTAAAATAGATATATTTAATAATGAATAATAGAATAAAATATTACAATAAAACAGTATAATAATATAACTTGTTAAGTATAGCCATTTGGTTTGTACGTAAGAAAACATAAATTGACAGCTGACTAAGTACAGAGATAATAACTATTGGATGACTACTGTTCTCTTACAAAGTACAATTATTATACCTTTGTTAAATAGCGTGCAATTTACTAAGAGCCGATTCTTCCAACGCCAGATAAATATTTACTGAGGAACAACATTATTCAATGTCGTTTGACAATTCTTCCATACTAAATTAAAACTGTTAAATGTAAATTTTATTCTACAATTAAGAATTAACTGATGATTTAAAAGTCGGCCCTTAGTGTTAACTGCCTCAATACTGATTCAATATTTATGTTCTAACGTGCATACCAAATAACATAATTCATAATTAATTAATGTCGAAATACTCAAACGCCACTCAATTATAAATCGCGCTTAAGTATAGTTCTGTCTCTACAAATTCTTTGTATAATGTTAGAGATGGCACGATATTTAATACAAATTAAAATTTAGTAGTCTTTCAGTATTCGGGCGTTAACTAAATACATTACAAATTAAAATCTAAAAGAGTTTCTTCACCACCTATATCTACAATAATACATTTTGAAGGTTTAATTAAGCAATTCAATTTAAAGGTAAAATTATAAAAGTTTATATTAGGTATATCCTTACGCTAATTTGGTAGATATCTAACTACCATTAGATAAATACGAATAGGTACAAATTGAGAGTCTCAGATATATGTAAATAAAGCACCTAATAATGACGATCAATAAATAAATTCATTCAATATTACAATTTTCTTTTTTACAAGTTTTTTTATTTTTTTATTATATCCTCTTTTAAAATATCATTCAAGAGGGAGATTTTTGTCTTATGTAGGCTACACCTTGCGATTTCACTGTGCAGATTTACTGTACACAGTTATATCGTAGGTCCATACACTGCCATACAGCCCACACAAGTGTAGGTTTAAGCAATACAAATACGTAAATTAAAATTAAATCATTACAAAATCATGTGACACGTTCGAGGTTTAAACTTCACACATACTTACCTACTATCAATACTATGTATTCTATGGTCTATCGAAATATGAATGAGTGTAAAAATTAGATATGAAGGAACCTTGCGTTATAATCGGCGAATTCTTCAGGTGTCAATAAATATCGGGCTACGTGTTTGTATTTCGATGGTTGCTCCAATATTTCCAACAAGGGCTTCAATTTGGCCTCGTAGTTGGCTAAAATTTGTGGCGGTACTGAACCTATCAGGTTATTCTGCTTATTCCAAAAATAAGGTATGTTTCTCGCCACCAAAGCCTGATGCAGTTTCCCTACCATCTGCTTGAACAATGTCGCTGGGCTGCTCTTCTGCCAATAGTCCGGATTGTTGATTTCTATTACCTCCCAGTAGAATATGGTTTTGATGTAGTAACTCGCTATCTTCTTCATTCCTAACGAGTCTCGTAGCTTTTTGATCTGTGTAAAACAAATAAACAATAATTAACTAAATACTATATTCGGCAATCCCTCATTTGTCGAGGTAAGTAAGTCGATTGGTGGCAAGCGCGACTGCCAGGCACGGAGTCTCGGTGTAATCCCCGGGTCGAACTAAATATTTATATTGGGTTTGTCAGTATTACGATATTCTTAAACAGTTAAAAATCTTTAAGTTTTTGGATAATAATTTACCGACAACAATGAATAGGTCTTGCACATTTATGTGCGTCTCTGCCAGACCCTTCGAGAAATAAAAGGTAATGAAATGGCGTTACTTTAATGTATTTTTATACAGAAATCACATGAAGCCACTAAAAATATGAAATACTTCAGTTAATTGTCAACTTGATTCCAAAACATTTGGTATACCTACTGATTTAACTTGGTGCTAACGTTTGTAAGTATACTTCGAATGTAATCAAGAATACTCACCAATCGAATTGCTTGTCGCAAGTTGTATGAATGGTACATCAACTCGCGCTCCTGATTGTGCAGAGCTATGCGCCAGGAGCGCGACTGGTCGTACGCACTCGGCGACGCCTTATTTGGCTTGCCGACCACCATCCAGTAGTCCTTCTTACAACGCGGGGGTATGTCACGGTAAGATTTGCTGATCGGCCATCGGTTCTCCGGGAACTTGAAGCACGGCACCAGATCTACATCCAATTTGAAGTTTCTAGAGTAGTTGCTAATCAGAAGCGTCATTGCCGGTCCGGACTCCGACTTGTCAATGACATACGGCACTCCTTCCACATAGTACACGGGACGTCCATTACTACTAACTTCAAATTTATTGAGAGCCTTGTTCACGACGCTCTTAAACCAATCACAGAACTTTGATCGCAGGAGATAGTTAGCATCATCTTTCCATTCATACGCAGTTTTGTTGATCAACCATTCTTCCTTGTCCCTCATTGGTAGTTTTTGGAACTGAATCCCCGTCTTTAGCTGGACGTATCCCGGGGACTTAGCCTCTAAAATGATGTCACTATAGTCAGGATTGAAAGGATCGACCTTGATATTAACAGGTAAGCCGATCACTATGTCCATGTCAAATTCGTCAGGTTTATCGATGCGTAAATTATCGAAATGACTGCCACAACACTGGACCTAAAATATTAAAAAAAACATTAAATTCTTATACCTGCAGTCCTATAAACACATAAGGTAAATGAGAGATTATTGTATCAATTCTCTCAAGCTCAGCCGTAAATAAAATACTGTAAGTGCATTTTTTCTTTAGGTAGGTAATTAAAACGTTTACGTACATAATATGTGCCTATTTCTAAATCTTTTTCATGTGATTTTGCTCAGGTATTCGCTGTTAGAAACTATCGGTCCATCATTAACTAGCATTAAAAGAATCCTAGCGCATTGGACATTGAACCCACAGTGTTGATATCATTTAAAAGAGAATAATCTATACTATTTTTAGTATTACAACTTTTAGCCAGCTCGCTGTAGAACGGAGATATAAGAGCCTACAAACCTATAAAATATTACAATTCACGAAGTAAACCAAACGATTACGTAAGGTTAAAACTCTTAAATAAGCAACAGTTAGGACCAAAACTTCATAAGAATGAGAACAAATCCTCTATAACATAGAATAACATCACGCCTTTTAATTCCTTTAACTGTCGAGTACAGATTCATGTTATGTACTGAAAATAATATTTACTTTCATTAGTTATGGGTCCTCGGGTCCTGTATAATAGGAATGAGTCTATGAGCATAACGAGAGAACAGTTGCAGACTTTGGACTATTGATAATAATGTCGATAATGTGAAAAATATTTTTTATCGGCCCGGGAGTCGTACGCGACATCGCTTGGCTTTACAGTGCCATTTATAACTACTTCACTAGCGATGAAGTCTAATTATTAAATATCTCAGTATTTAACTTAATAATTTTGAATCCTGAGCGTTTCGATGGTATTAGATTCAATTCTCGGGTCGGACTAGGCATTAAAAAGGATTTTTATTCAGCACTAACAAAGTCTAGAATGGTGCGAGGTATATAGTGTAGATTCGTCCTTATTAGGTACATGTAAATATTAACGTAACTGGCAAAACGTCAGTGTTTCTTATAATTGTGCATCTCTGTGTACCCCTTGGGGGAATAAAAGGAGTGATAATATATTTAATATGTTAATTCAAGTATTACAATGATTACATCAAATAACTAAGAGTGCACTTGTTTGTAGAGGTGAAATAAACGAAATTAAGTAAACCAACATTTGAAATCCGATTTTCTAAACAACCCCATCTCTTATGAAAATAAAGTATTCACGTCGACACATATAATAAATGGGAAAGTGAGTTTGTTTGTTTGTTCCGGGTTCACGCCGTAACTACTAAACCGATTGCTTTGAATTTTTGCAGACGTAAAGTTAGAAGTCCGGATTCAATAATAGGGTACTTTTTATCCCGGAAAATTTCGATATTCCCGAGGGAAAGCAAAAGAATTGGTATAGATGGCGCTGTGTGTATTGGTATATGTCACATAGGCTACTTTTATCCTTTTGTGACGCGAGCGAAGCTGCGGGTAAAAGCTAGTAAGATTATAAGTACATAGGTATACGCACCGTGCTTGAATACTTCTGGTAGTAGGGGTCGACTTCCTTCATCTTCTTGTGCACAGCTTGGAAGATCGTGTCAAACACTCTATAATGAGTGCCGAAGTCGCTCAACTTTATGTACCGCACGTGTATGTCGGACAACAACGAGTTAAGATTCGTAATCACTGGGTTTTCAGGAATGTTCTGGCACTCTTCAATACTCATCGTAGATATAGAAGGGCCCCCGCTAAAAATGACGTCACTTTTAGATATTATGCAATGCGCTTTCACTACGCTGATTTATTCTGTTTTTAATTTACTAAAACTGAAACTCTGACTAGGTATGAAGCTAACTTCTCGCCACCAACCAAGTCCTTCTCGTTCATAGACAACCTTACAATATTGCAGCCTGACGCCTTAGTACCAGCTTGTTTGACGTTAAAAGTATTCGTAACGAGTATGCGTTCGGCACTCTGATTGGCCGGCCCCATTGAAGCAACCAATCAAAACAAACAAACCAACAAACTGGTACTAACGCGTCTGATATCGAATGACATTTTTAACTCACTAAAAAATGATACGGCCAAATAATACGCGTGTTCTTGATTTGGTGACTTGTGAACGAATGACTTTACAGATACTGACTCAAACAACTTAACTAACTTACAGTAACTTAAATTAGCTTGAGAATAATCTCAACTTCCAAGTTTTTACATTCGAGATTTATGGCTCTTCTCTTAAGTACAGTCTCAAGAGTTTCGAATATTTTTTCAAGATCTTTGGCACTTACCTAAGTAGGTACCAACTATATTGTAAACTATCGACACAACGTTAAGAGGTGAAGTGATTGATTCTTTTTTAAATGGCTAAACACTTAATGTTTTAACACTGCAAGTTATACAATATGGCACTTGTTCACGAAACTAATGGCTGAAATTTTATCATAAGTGTGTGCTGTGGTACTTGTAAAGGGCTTTGTATTTTGTTTTTTTTAAACAAGTATCTATTTTACTCTACACTTGATTTCTATAGGGCCTTGAGTGTTTGTCTACAAAAAAACTACATAGTTTCATATCAGGAGGTACCGTACCCGGAGCAATAATTTATAGGTGTAACAAATGCATTCCAGGTATATTCAATACTGGAGTCGAACCGCCCCCGAGCGCCCCGTGGCGTAGTGTAAGAACTAAGAAATAGTTGTACCATGCAGAACAGGGTGCTTATTCTTGAAACCAATCTCAAATGTCAATGCAATTTCAATCCAATAAAATCTCAATAAGTATTCAATGTCAACACTATACAACCACAATCGTAGCTGTTAAAATAGCATTTAGAGTACGGAATATAAAGCCAAACTCAATACCATTTAGTTCATTCAATATCCACGCAATACGAAAGCAATGGGCGCTAGTGTTGTAACTTGTAACTCAAGAGTACGAAAATTCACAATACCAATATCGATCGATCGGAATTGGATTCAAGAGTAAGCACCCAGCACTTCCCACACGTACCTAGTACCTAAGGAATTACACTACCTATCTACTGTAGGGAAAAGAGTGAAAATAGTACAAAAATCCATCTCTCTCTATCAAAAGTAAATGAGAGAGACACGCAATCGGGAACCTCTAGAAGACTTCCTTTGCTTTGCAGCTGTTTTCATGACAAGTTAGGATTAGAACTTACCGTGACGTAGACATCCTTCCTAACAAATCGGAAAGATACGAAGATACGGAAGTATCCTCGGAGTCGTTAGACCTGCTGGTACTAGCCGTATTCCTTATCATCCTATCCTCCACACCGGGGGATCGTGGACTACGGTGCTCTGGTTCCTTCTCCTCGGAGCCACTCATCAGATATGATATGGTTCCACCCACTATGGCACCAGCCAGCCCAATACCGGCTGCAATCGCCCATGGATTTGGACCACCATTTTCCTCAGGATTATTATTATTATTATTCCTGTTGTTGTTATTCATTTTACTGCAATTATAAAAGTGATTTACATAAAAACTTAGCAATGTGTGAATGTGTGAGTGCAATGAAATTTCTCTGAAAGGTGTGTTAGAGCAAATAATTAAAATAATAGGTCTTCATATTCCATACAATGAATAGAATATAAAATATAAAGCGCACGCGGTGGATACCGTATATAAAAATAACCCAGTCGCGCATTACATTTTACATGTATTATCAATACAATCTATTTATTTTTCTATAAACTTAGTAACTTTCAGATTTAGGTATATTTAAAGGTAAGGTAAGGTTACACACACAGAGTACAGAGTACCTGCAGGTATATACCTCATCCCCAGTTTAAGTCACACGCTTACCTCTCATAAATTAGAATTTAGAAAAAATTTAATTCTTGAGATATCAACTATGTATGTGTACGCCAAATTAGTTCATTAGTGTTGGTGTATGGTGTACGCACGCGCTTACAGGGTTCGTCAGTACTCGTATTCGTGTCAATTTAGAACTTAAACTAAGCTAAAAGTCTCTTTTCAAACTACTAGGTAAGTACTTATTATTATTAAAATATTAATTAAATCATAAAATCTTGTAAACTTAAAAAGTGGGCAGCAGATCAACCTACTCTTTTCTGTACAATTTCTTTATTTGATTTTCAACTCTATTGTTTAGACATTAAGTCGAAAATCTAATGACAAAAATTAATACATTAGAGTAGGTTGATTTGCTGGTTACACTGTACTAGTTATTTTACTTACCAAATGTGATGTTCAATGCACTAAGTATGAAATTAAAATACTCAAAGTTTAAATCTTTTAATCAACGAACACCTCAACTGTAATCTGAAACTGTGTCTAAATAACAAAGAACCTCAATTTTTATCTATGTTTTAACAAACTGGTGATCACACACACGAATTGTAATTCCTACTGATAGTATGTTAAATTAGCACGTATTTTATTTGAAAATAATGCTCGTATAATTCCCTATTTAGATGGATTTAATAAAAAAATCAACAAATATAATCATTAATTTTTTTTATTTTTTTTCATAATATTTTTACTTTTAGAGAATGATATACTTTCTTATAAAACTGACAAATTGGTAATAAAAATTAAGCGATAGTGTCGGCAACACTATTCTGTTATCGGGGGATTCCCAAAAATTTGATAAATGAACTTGATCAAGATTCGAGAACAGTCTAGAAATATTTTGTTATCATCGGAGAAAATAATGAGAATATTACATTTCTTTGCACATTGAGTAATTTGAATATTTTATTTTACAGGTTTTTCATTTTTACGTGATTATGAGAAAGTAATATGACCAATATACCACAAAACTTAATTATAAACCTCTCATAAATTAGAATTTAGAAAAAATTTAATTCTTGAGATATCAACTATGTATGTGTACGCCAAATTAGTTCATTAGTGTTGGTGTATGGTGTACGCACGCGCTTACAGGGTTCGTCAGTACTCGTATTCGTGTCAATTTAGAACTTAAACTAAGCTAAAAGTCTCTTTTCAAACTACTAGGTAAGTACTTATTATTATTAAAATATTAATTAAATCATAAAATCTTGTAAACTTAAAAAGTGGGCAGCAGATCAACCTACTCTTTTCTGTACAATTTCTTTATTTGATTTTCAACTCTATTGTTTAGACATTAAGTCGAAAATCTAATGACAAAAATTAATACATTAGAGTAGGTTGATTTGCTGGTTACACTGTACTAGTTATTTTACTTACCAAATGTGATGTTCAATGCACTAAGTATGAAATTAAAATACTCAAAGTTTAAATCTTTTAATCAACGAACACCTCAACTGTAATCTGAAACTGTGTCTAAATAACAAAGAACCTCAATTTTTATCTATGTTTTAACAAACTGGTGATCACACACACGAATTGTAATTCCTACTGATAGTATGTTAAATTAGCACGTATTTTATTTGAAAATAATGCTCGTAATAATTCCCTATTTAGATGGATTTAATAAAAAAATCAACAAATATAATCATTAATTTTTTTTATTTTTTTTCATAATATTTTTACTTTTAGAGAATGATATACTTTCTTATAAAACTGACAAATTGGTAATAAAAATTAAGCGATAGTGTCGGCAACACTATTCTGTTATCGGGGGATTCCCAAAAATTTGATAAATGAACTTGATCAAGATTCGAGAACAGTCTAGAAATATTTTGTTATCATCGGAGAAAATAATGAGAATATTACATTTCTTTGCACATTGAGTAATTTGAATATTTTATTTTACAGGTTTTTCATTTTTACGTGATTATGAGAAAGTAATATGACCAATATACCACAAAACTTAATTATAAACATGATATAATTAATACTTTTCATTTACTTGAATTAAAATATTATTTCATCAATATGCTTGTTAAAATAAATATTTTTTTATTTATATTCAAAAACATTTTTTGCTATTTAAAAAGACAGTGATCTAAGTTTGAGTTTTGACATTTGATATGGTGTTGGCTAAGCAAAAAAACATTTAGATAACGTGGGGAAAACCTTAAAATTATATTTTTATCTTTTCTTGATAACCTTTCTCCTTGGAAGTAATATTGAAGGCACACAAAGTCTATAATGATCAGAATTCAGATTGAAACTATGTAACATAATCATAATCCTTACAAAGTTTGTAAAACTATTATGTACTTAATTGAAAAACTAGTTTTAATAAGATTGATTTTGTTATTTATTTGCACCAACTGTTAGTAATTTATGGGGGAGCGCTGTGGGTAACATTTACTTTAGAAACGTCAACACTGTAAAGTGATTTTAGGAAATCCCAGTTTTCGAGTGTATTATTAAAAGTTGCATTGACTTTAAGTGGAAACATGAAACAATTTAGTTTCAACGTCCACAGATTGCGGTTGACTGCGGAGAAATTGATAAAATATAACATTACTTAATGCACAATAGCACTACGAAAGTTGGATTAAATACTTTAAAGTGGTGAGTTTGTTTACAATGTTTATAATCAAGCATACTAAACAGTGGCAAATAGCAACTAAATCTTAGAAGAATGTATTGTAATGATTGATGGCTTTCCAAATATTTTGGATAAAGTAAGGGTCCTAATAGTAGTTAACTATGTATTTATTGTCACACACTTTCAATTCAACGCAACATGTAGCTTTCCGTCGGGATGTTTTATGACATTTTCAACTAATTCCATTCACATATTATGTCTGGATGACCGAGCTTTCCCCCTTATTTTTTTAGTAAACGTCATTTTCCGAGATCGTTGATACATATAAATATTACAAGTACAAGAAGAACAAGAAACAATTTTGCAATCGAAGTAGGATTTATTATTGGAACAGTTTGTTAGTACTGTAGAATGTACTCAGAAGTAACTCGGTAATCTTCTGATTTATACGATTTTGAATTTAAATGAAGATTAAATAGGATTGTACTTAGATATTAGTATTAATTGGATAACTAGAATATGACACTTGTTTTCCATCCATAAATTCCCCGTAAAGCATTAGGTATTAGTAGGAGTATCCTAAAGCACTATTATCCTAAAGCACTATTATTTAGCACTATTATTGACTGCCAGACTCATAGGACAAACAAAAAAGTGTGCAGCATACTACAGCCAACTACATGCATGACTGACTTGAACATTATACATATTATAAAATATTATTTAACCTTTCGTGTGTATAAACATGGATCCACGCGAGACAATGTATTTTCTATTTTATCTCATATTGGTGGATCCAAGCGGTTACAAATGAATTCTTAGCTGGTGCTGAGGGCACTTCTTTGCTTCTTTGATGTGACGGTTGAAAGGTTAATTATAACTACCCTTATTTAAACTGTCAAACACCAAGTGGTCACTGGTGACTGCAACCTATTGTTCTTTAATTGTGTCTATAAATACGGTACTCGATGAGTTAATTATATTACCCTCTTTAACTTGATAAGCACCATGCTGTTTTCTGTTGGCAGTCAAAGTCATATTTGTATTAAAAAATTGATGTATTGCCTTTAATTATGATACAACTATTTCATCTACAGTTAAATTCAACGATTACTGTACCGAAATGCACAAATTGCAACAGAATTTGTCCAATATGTAATACAACATGATGAAATTCCACTAAAGGTCTGCACCAACACAATGAAATTATTAATCTACAGATACTTTGATAAACAAACATAGATTAATAATAATATTAGATAAAACCGATAGCCTACTTCAATAATAAAGAATTATTTAAATATATTTCACTATGTCTTGTCTATGTTTACACATACACATACAATGCAATGTTATTACTAATTGTAATTTTTTTTAAGACAAACGTGTTTAAATATAGAACATCTTTTTGTCAGTTACTTTTGGCAAACTTCTAATATAACAAGCAAAGTGAAAAATCTAATCAATATACAAATCAAATATGTACTATTTTATTTATTTCATAATGTTAATCTTATACTTAATAACATATAAATATGAGTAGATTATTTTTAGATGTACATACTTATTTATTTTCTTTTCCTTTATATTATTTTAATGTATTTTGTGGAAATAACATAACATAACATCACGCCTTTTATCCCCGAAGAGGTAGTCAGAGGTGCACATTATGGCATTCAATGCCACTGTACAATTTAACACCCACTTTTCACTATTTATGTTATGAGTCCATTGTAATAGGGGCTGAGCCTATTGCCACATACCGGACACGATTCCAGACTCCGTGCTACTACTGAGATTTTTTTGGAAAACCCCAGTAATACTTTGCTCGACACGGAAATCGAACCCGAGACCCCTTGCCCGGCAGTCGCACTTGCGACCACTAGACTAACGAGGTTGTAATGTGGAACATATTTATATGTATTTAGATGGTATATTGTCGTGGTGGCCTGGAGGTTTAAGACGCCCTCTTCTCATGTATGAGGATGCGGGTTCGAAACCTACAAACGGCAAGTACCAATGTGACTTTTTTTACGAATTATATGTACTTCCTAAGATTATCTAGACACCACTGACAAACGGTGAAGGAAAACATCGTGAGGAAACCTGGGCTTATAATTTCTAAATATAAGTTTGTAATTGCCAACCCACATTGAGCAAGCGTGGCGATTAATGCTCAAACCTTGTGAGAAGAGGCTTTGCTCAGCAGTGGGCATTTAAAGGCTGTTGATAATGATGATTATATTTGTATATAGTAAGCAGCTTTAGCTGAAGAGTTTTTTTAGACGCAATCTCAGAAAGTACTGGTCTGATTTGAAAAAAATCTTTTTGTGTTGGATAGTCCATTAGGCCATCCAGACAAGCTATATAACATCATGCTACGGTCAGGAGGAACCGAGCAGAGCGGGTGAAACAGGGCAGATGTAGCTATTGTGAATATAAGAGTGCTATGCCATAATGCTAATTATTTTAAATGCTGCAGTCCATATCTCGGTGGCTAGTAGCAGTTGTTGGACAAATTCAGTTCCAACGATTCTCCAACCAGATCCAAGTTCAATAATAATAACAACTTAATACAGAGGCAATTTAGATTATGTTATTTTATCATTGTTATTGTATTAGTTTTCAGTTTTATAGCAGTAAGAGTACATGATACATCTCGTTAGATACATAAAATAAATCCACAGAGGTCATAACTACCACATAGATATTGATTAGATAAGGAAAATAAAACCACTACTGTTAATTCCAGTTAGTAAACACCGTGATGACATAGAAGTCAACTTTATATGTGTGTCATAAAGTAGATTTTTCACTGGCAGTGTGTGGTAGAATTAAACAATGTTAAAATCAATAAAATATGGACTTTATGACATTGTATTAAGGTTGAGGTTTTAAACATTATCTCATTCCATTAAGTTAATACTGCCATGTCCTTTGAGTGTTGATGGCTTGTTGGTACTTGGTATCAGTAAGTGGTACTTTAAGCACAAGCATCTATTATATTGGACGTGCCTTGCTTCTTTGTTTAATGCCCGATTGCCCGTTTTCACAAACTTCTCCAAGATTACTATTATAATCCCCAACAATTTATGAAAAATCCACAACATTTGTTCATACAAAAGTAGTCTCTAAACTTCGGAAATAAGGTCTATAATAGTAAGTGGGGAGCGGTCACCGGTGACCGCTTCGGGACAATACTGGGAAACCGATAAGCTAAGATAATTCATATTTTGTTTACACATATTTATAAGTGTTACCTAACAGTACAAGTAAGGGGTCAGTTTTGGTGGTATGTAACATACCACAGAGATATTTTTTAACACGTTAAACGCCATGGGGGTCACGGGTGACCGGCGTTAGCGGAGGATTTACCTTCAACAGTTTTTTATTGGCAGTCAAAGTCTTAAAGACCCAGTAATATCGATAACGTAGTACTTTCTCAGCAGTTAACATATAGTGCGTACCTATAGGCTCACCCCTATTACATGGGACTCGTAACATAAATTGTGAAAAGTGGGTGTTACAGTGTACAGTGGCATAATGTGCACCTCTGCCTACCCCTTCGAGAATAAAAGGCGTGATGTTATGTTATGTTAATAGTGTTCAATAATTGTATGACAATAGACACTCCCTTTTTACATGGAACTCATTGCGTAACTAGTTAAAAATGTAAATAAAACAATAGATAATACTTAATAATATGTTGTTTCCTCTTCGTGGATAAAAGCAGTGACGTTGTTATGTTTTTTAAAGCCCGTCTTGTAAAATCCCTTTGTGTAGGTAATAAAAAAAAACGTGACGTTGTGTTGTGTAATAAATACAATGCTGAAATTAAGTTCGTCTTAAACTGTATCTGAAGTAGGTACAGTAGATATTGAAGTTTAGTAAATAAATGCAACAATTACTTAATGTAACGACACAACAATGACGATTGTTGTTGCAATACGTCATATATATCTACATAGTTACGTATTTTACGTTTAGTACCAACGACACTGCGGTTTTATCCATTTCTATTATTGTTATTGTTTTTTGCCGAATGGAAAACAATAATATTTACTTCAGATGATCAAGAAATAGGGACCCCATTACTTACCGAACGACATTCTGTTAGCAGACGTTAAGGGGGAACGTCTTTCTAATTTTTTGTAGACAATTTATTTCAATTGTGAAAATCGGTTGAGCTAACCCAACTTATATTTTTACTTATTGTAGGATTTTGGTGTTAGATTTTCTTCTGTGTCGTGGGTGTGTTAGCAAACGTACAATTTAATATGAAGAATTATTTATCGTAAGTATTGTTTTGTAAATAGATTTTATTTTTGTTTCAGTGAATCATGGCTTCGAAAAAGAGAAGTTTGGACTTGTACCTCGGAGAAGTGTTCAAGCAGTTCATCTCGATCAAAGATGATGATTTTAAGAAGTCACAGAATGTATTCAAGAGCGTCTTCGATCAAGTCAAGCAGAAGATGGGCGAACAATGTAATTATTTCAAGAAATATGGCAGTCAGGTAAATACTGAAGTGACTTAATGTTTTTATTTATGTAACTTCTGTCCCGTTTATCTATTTATAAAAATCATTATTTGTCAAATATCGTGTACATACATCCATAATTGTAGGGCTAAAAGCAATTTAATTCACATTTTACACAAAATCGATTGTTGCTCCATAAATTTATTACTGTACTTTAATAACGGTACTTCTAAACTGCCTTTTTTTTGAACGTTGGCTGTAGCCATGTTGGCAAAAAGTCAATAATGCAGTATAGTACATAAAAATGGAACTCGTTTAGAAGCACCTAACTTTACATAAGTAGAGTAGCTACAAATTACAGCAACGATTTGTTAGTAAATTGTGAACTAAATAGCTTTTAGTCTTAAACAGTATGTATGTATTGAAATTCGATCAATAGTATTTTTATAGAGCTGCGACGGGACGCCATGCATTGTAGGTGTAGCCACTCATCGTGGCTACATCTACAACGTATGACCATCTACCAGATCATGTACGGTGGAAGCGTCTCCGACAACATCAAAGTGGGCAAGATGGATGAATTCGACATGGACATCGTAATTCGGCTACCAATCAGTTACGCGGACATCATCATTGAGAATGAAGAGCCGGGTTTCGTTAAGCTGAAGATCACGAGTGCTTTTGATAATTTAGACAAGCAGCCTGACTGGGAGAAGACGCACAAGGTGACGCGGGAGTGGCGGGACTCTGAGAAGTACTTACTGCAGAATAAGTTCCGTCAGTGGATGCACAAGAATGTCCAAAAAGCGCTGAACGCTATGGAGGGAAAGGTTACGGTGAACGGGGACGTCTACTTGCTAACGTACAAGGAGTCAGGACCGGCCTACACGCTTAACATTAGAAACGACGAGGGAACTGAGAAGTACGCGCTGGATGTAGACTTGGTACCGGTCATTAAGTTCATGTATCCTCGCGCACCGGAAGGTTACAGGTTAGTTAGCATTTAAATAATACTTGATAGTTTTACAAAACAACTATCTACTTATGTGGATCAATAGAAAACAATATAAAACCAAATTATCACCTTCAAGTTTTTTCAGTGAATGAAAACCTAGGTATTGCTGTAAAGTACCTATGTGAATCATAATAGTTAGGTATCTAGATTCGGATTGCCTTAACTAAGTATAGCATTGTTATTTTAGAGTAATCGACGGACTTCAAGCGAAGGACTGGCTGGTTGTTCCCAAGCCTAACAAGGCTCTAAGTGACAATACCCTAAAGAACCGTTGCTGGCGCCTGTCCTTCCAAGAACAGGAGAGAGAAATTATCAAAGACTGTAAAGCGTTGAAGACAACTATCCGACTGGTAAGATACTACTCAAAAACTCAACTTGCAAAAACGTCTCAGGAAGATAACCAAATATTTTTCCAACTAAACATTTTGAAATAATTTTAGGTGAAAAAGTTACGAGATGCGCTGGAGATGAGAGCTATTGCTAGCTATTACATCAAATCACTCTTCTTAAAGAAAGTGTACGAAACACAAGACAAAGCTTACTGGCAGAACAAAGTCAGTGTGCTGTTCCGTACGATGGTGGAGGAGTTCTACGTCGCCATCCAAAAGAAAGAAATTCCCTTCTTTTGGAACTGCGACCACAACTTGATTGGCGGGCTGAGGGAAAGTTTACAGAAGATTTATTGCGATAAGTTAAAGAATGTGATTGCAGCTATCGACGCGAATGATATTGAAAAGGTGGTCGGGGCATTGTTGACTGCGGAGGAAATGAGAGAGTTTAAAAAGTCTGAGTTTTATTTGAAACACGGGGAGCTGGAACCTTTGTTGATGACGAGTTCCTCTGTCTCTTCTTTTGAGTCGTCTCCGCCGGACAGCGCCTTGTCCAGCCAATTAAGAACGTTGACGGACGAACTCGACTCGTTGCGTATCAATAACGAAAGAGACCAGAAGTTTGAAGAGCTGGAAGGTAAAATGAACAAGCTAGCAGACAGAGTTAGTCTGTTGGAATGTAGAATGAACAAAATTGAGATGGCTTTCAGTCAGTCACAAAAGACATGTAGTCCAGTTATCCAGTTAGATGATCTGATCCAGATCAATTAAATTGCATGAGTAATTTAATGAAATTTTACGAGATCATTTTTTGCTTGATCTTACGATTTCTGAGGATATATGTGCAAATTATTTATATTATGAATTTGTATTGGAATGTGAACTCCACCAGTGACGTAACTCTTATATTATTGGAATTTCCACCGATTTTGCAAATGTTAATGCGTTAATATAAATACAATTTATTCACATAATGAAACCTCGAAATATACTAGTCAAAACAAAATAAGGGCCACCACGTTTTTATAGTTTCCTCATGAAATCTTGAGGTTTAAGTGTTGATTAATGATTAGATTTGATAAATTAACTGTTTTTTATTATTAACAACACAAAATGATGAAAGACACATTCCAAAAAAAAAAATTACCATTTTTTTCTGAAAAACTAACATTTTTGCAAGCAAAACGTATGAAATCAGAATCAAGTAAAAAAATAAACAAATCAGATATTGGTTGAATTGTAACTCCTCAATATTTAGTATGCCCTCCTCGTTTTCTAATGCACTCTTGAAGCCTGGATGGTACACTCTCCACCAAGTGTACCACTGTTTCTTGAGGAATTTGTTCCCAGCTTGATTTTAAAATGTTTATTAGCTGTCTTTCATTGTGCACGGGTTGGTTTGTGCTTCGAACGTTGCGTTTGAGTAAATCCCACATGTGTTCAATGGGATTGAGATCCGGACTGTTTGCAGGCCAGGGCAGCACCTGTATACCAGCCTCCTCTATAGCTTCTCTGGTGGCCCTAGCTGTATGAGCGCGAGCATTATCGTGCATCAGACGGAATCTTGCGCCGATTCTTTGTTCATATGGGACCACATGAGGTCTTATGACCTCCTCGATGTAACATTGAGCTGTAATTGTGCCTTCATTGAGAATTATCAACTCAGTTCTACCAGATGTAGAGATTCCTCCCCACACCATAACGTTAGGGCCCCCAAATCTGTCCTTTCATGGATACAAGCATCCGAAAATCGCTCGCCTTCACGCCTCCAGACCCTAATACGACGGTCATCACAAAAAAAATTTACTTTGCACTCATCCGTAAACAATACTGTGCTCCATTCACTCATATCCGATGCCAGATGCTGCCTTGCGAACGATAATCGGTTTGCACGATGAGCACTAGTCAATGGTATCCGCACTACACGTCTCCTAGAGAACTGCTGGTCCTCGTGTAACCGATTTCTAATGGTTTGATCGCTAACACGTGTACCCGTAGCCTGCCGCAAACGGTTTTGTAAGGAACGGGCTGTGATGCAGCGTTCTCTGCGCGCAGTCAAACGTATGTAGCGGTCTTCCTGTGCGGTAGTTGCTCGATTTCTGCCAGATCCCCGTCTCCTGGTTAGTCTCCCAGTCTCTTGAAATCGATACCAAGCATTCTGAATTGCTCGCCGGGAAAAACCCAGCTGCATCGCAACAGAACGCTGCGAATGGCCTTCTTGAAGTAATGTTACGGCCCTAGTTACGGTTGGTAAGTCTATATGATGTCGGATTCTCGGCATATCTTTGTTAAAGAAATAATTCAGCCAGAAGTAAAACAAAACTAAACTGTTCTTGACAGAATCGTCAGTTTGACTGAGTTAAAATCCATCTTAAAATCGGGTAAAATCAAGTGGGTACATTAAATTATCAAAAACTGCTCACTTCACAGAGTTATGCCTGTAGAACACTTAAATAAATGTTTGTAAACAAATAAGGTAACGCTACAATAACCATTCAGCTACTTGAGTACGCAGAAAAAATAAATTATCGCTACCGCTGTTAAAAATAACAAGTGGCCCTTATTTTGTTTTGACTAGTGTAGATTCAAGCAAATATTTGTTCCGTACAGGAGCATACGCCATATATGCAGCTACACATGTACTACACAGGCAAATTGCCAATCATGCAGTCGAAAGATATAACTATAATAATATAACTGTATGATTTCTTTATAGACATAAAATTAAAACGTAACCCAAGACAATAATGTTATGTATTCATAGGTAATACGTTACCTGTGTTGCAACGTTCCACGCCCGCTTCATGTTAGAGCCACGCCCCATTAGACAGAAAGAAAGAAAGAAGAAAGAAAAAACATTTATTTAGCACCAGGCACGGTGCAGCATAAATAAAAAATAAAAAAGACACCTTGATTAGGTGAGACAGTGGAAGTAATAAAAATATAAAGAGTTGAAAAATTGAAACAGAAGAATTAGAAAAGAGACGCTGACAACATGCCTATTAGTGCGTTGCGTCGTCACGGCGTTTATCATATAGTTTTTGTGGCATGCCCTAGTACACCGTTGCGTCGTCCCTCGCGACGTTTCAACGAATCGACGGACAAGCAACGAAGCGGGAGGTAGGCTGATGCGCTGCGTTGACGGACTGTTTTCTCGTTTATATCTGCGACGTCATCATCCTTACAACCCTGGTGGGGTGTGCAATGCATTGTTCCGTTGCTACGACGCGACGCAATGCAGCGCAATGGACAAAAAGTATCTCGCTCTAATGGGGCATCGCCCTAACATGTCACGAGGCACGTTACTGCATCAAACGTCCTCATTACAGTTACTATCGTTTATAAGTCAAAACATCTCGCTGTTTCCTTATTGTTTTTATTATTATTATTATCCGGTAATTATGAGAATCTAATGTAGGTATTTTATGAATATGTATTAATATTTTTATAGTGCATAGGTAAGCATTGACTAAATACCTACCTATTGTATACATAATTATGAATTCCTATAAAATTATGGTCTATTTTATTATTACATTAAATGGTTTTTATTCCTAGCAACGTCTGTGGTTTCCTTTCGTCTCCTAGGCCAGCCACCACCACCAGAATGCCTACATAAGATAGGTAACCAAACTTAATAACTACCTACTAGCCACTTACTTTCGCTCGGTTTCACTCGCTCTGCTCGGCTCCTATTAATCGTAGCGTGATATTGTATAGCTTATAGCCTTCATCGGTAAAAAGACTATTCTTATTACAATTATTCAATTCGAACCACTAGTTCAAGAGCTTAGCGCGTTCAAACAAACAGACAAACTTCGGCTTTGTTAAGTACCTAAGTATAAATAAAAAGCAAATAATATGTACAATGTAGGTAATTCAACATTGCTGCAATTAATCGTATCATACCTACATACCTATGTCATTCATTGTGCATAATATAGGTACCTACCTATATTATGCACAATGAATTCACTATCGCAGTATGACGTAGACAGTACCCACGATAGCACATGTGATTAGGTACTTCAACACTTATGTATAACAAAGTTGGGCTTTCAATGAGATTTTGACCTCTGTTTCGGTTTTTCTCAGAGATGGGTAATACCGGCCTCATTCGGCTAATTTAACCTTTTAGCGAAACCTGGTGAACATTTTTCCGCCCGGTGAACCTGGTGGTAAGAAACATCGGTCCCTACCGGACTTATAGCATACAATCTTTCCGCTTTCAGAGACTAGATTGCGAAACTATCAGGCAATTGTTCAAAAAATTAACGTTTAAAGTACAGTTTAGCTACATCGCTGCGACCGCGCTGCTCATGAGGAAGAACCCCTCTGCGGTTCGAAACTAGTAGAGTTTTTCTCAGTAGGTATATTCACGTGAGTAACTCGCGATTTTTAGCGAAGTTCAAATATTTACGTGTACCTAATCATTCTATTCTATAGAAGGTATATTTACAGAGATGAATATTTCATTAGTGTTCAGTGTTAAGCTGTATGTTTTCTTAAAATAAAGCTGAACTATTTTCAGCTTTCGTTTAGGTATGTAAATGTATGTTTCAACCATTATAGTCTTTGAAACTTCAACTACAGCATACGGTATCTTGTAGGTAAGTTTTTAAAGATAACCTACCTACTGATACTGATTCCTAAAGGGTTATTTGCCATCCTATGTTGTCTGGATAATTACCACCATCTATTGCCAGGTAGTTGAAGATAAAACTAAATAAGTACTTTTTTTTTAGTACGTTCTGTTATTTGTACGTTGCGTCAGGTATGTCTTTACATTATTCTCACATGTGTGTACAATATTGTAATATGTATCAGAGCAATGTAAAACAGACTTTTTTTAAAAGAGTAACGAATGGAGTTTCTTGCTCGTTCTTCTCCACTCGAATCGACATTTTGGAACGAGCGCCTAGCTTCACTGACGGACAGACTGACAGACTATTATTTATTTCATATTTGTTGAGGTTTCAAAGTACCAAATTATGGTTATTATTATTATTTATTTATGGTTATTATTATTTATTTCATATTTGTTGAGGTTTCAAAGTACCAAATTATGGTTTAATTGAAATATATGCTTTTGAGTTTGAGTTTAATTGGTCAGAAAGTTGTAAAAGAGAATCTAGCCCTAAGACGTGTGTTAGGTCTAGATAACTAGCGTTTACACGCGTCGACTACAATACATAAACAGGAAACATTCTATGTATACTAAACGAATATCTGTGATCTCATAGTTGCACGTAGTGCATACTGCATTGCAACATTCTATTTACGGAGTCTATCCGATTCAAACTGAATTATCATAACATAACATGACGCCTTTTTATCCCCGAAGGGGTAGGCAGAGGTGCACATTTCGGCACTTAATGCCACTGTACAATGTAACACTCACTTTTCACTATGTCCCATGTAATAGGGGGTGAGCCTATTGCCATATACCGGACGTAATTCCAGACTCCGTGCTACAACTAAGAATTTTATAAAAACCCAGTAATACTTTTGCTTGACCCGGGAATCGAACCCGAGACCCCTTGCCCGGCAGTCGCACTTGCGAACACTCGGCCAACGAGGCAGTCATAGAAGTAAACTGAACTAATAAAACGATTTGTTTGGTTTTGTCTGTACTTAGAATTAACAGTAGGTTAATTAATTATTACGGAGCCGCGGAAGACTTAACGGGTTGCCGGGGCTCCGGTTCGAAGTGCAGGTGTAGGAACGGGGTGGTTTTTAGTCAGTAAGAGTCTGACACTCCCTCCCGCCTC